CTACTTATCGGAGCACGGCAGGATAAAAGTCCAGGGATGCCAATTGCTCCGCTTTCTACAAACTGTTTAATAAATTGGTAGAGAATTAAAAAATAAACTTGTGGAGTAATGATAATTGCACCCAATCTTTAAAAGTGTCACAGTGGCGGAATAGCCTAGTTGGTAGATCGTTGGACTCATGTTCAAGAGGTCGTGAGTTCGATCCCTGCCGCCCGAATGGTGTGCGTTAAATCTGTCAGGTATCAAAGTCCTCCAAGTTCCTACAACAAATCAATACCTTTGTGTATACAGAATTGCAGATTGATCGTTCTCTGGTTCAGATCCAAATTGCGATCTGTAGATGGATTCATGTAGGTATGAATGGGCCCAACCTATAAACGGACTGTGACGTGTGTGTGGCTGAATACATATTCTTAGCCACATATTGGGCCACTAAAGTACAAGAAACGCTCCCTGCATCTTAAGATACTTTCACGAAGCAGGCTTGCTGGTACAGGCAAGTCGAATTCTAAACAAAAGTGTCACCACGAGGTCAAGTTGTATTTCTTATAAAACTCTCAATTTTTTTTTTATATAGTAATGAAAAAATTACTTAAAATGAAAAATACTTAACTAAGAATAATTTAAATTTCGTTATCACTAAAACTCTTTTTTTACAAGGCGGAGAAATTCGGCATCGCTGTGTGAAGAAAATCTTTCATATGTGTTAAATTATTTTAACGTAACGGTGGACATAATCATTTTAAATCAGATCTATTGAGCCGTGATAGCTCAGGGGATAGAGCGTTTACCTTCCAATAAGATGAACCTAGTTCGAATGTCAGCGATCGCTGGTCGATACGAATTCCGCATCTGGCTTGCACCGACCACAGAGCTGATCAACGGATCCTGGGTTTGAGTCCCCTTGCTATCAAGCTAACCGCGGTAGGTTTTCGAAGTTTTCCTCTCCATGTAACACAAATGCGGGTTATTTCCGTCAAAAAGTCCTCCACGAAGGCAAATTTCTCTCAATACTTGATCAAGGAGTTCCCTTGTCTTCTGGATTGAATTCAAAATTACAAGGTTACGAAGTTGAACATTAGTAGTCGATTGTACTTTATATATATGTGGAATACAGATCCAATCTACGAAGCATTCATCCTATCACGTGATTGAAACCAAGGACATTAATAGACATACGTCTACATTCTTTTGTTCTTTTACAAGTACACCATTATTGTTAGAATGACTGGCTCGAGGAGGATGCCAGTGGAAATTGTAGCTTACTTGCCTATTATTGTTAATATATATTTTTATTAAGTTTAGCACAGCTTCTTTATTTTTGAGAAACCCTCGCTTCACCCCCTTTATCCTACATATATATATAATTTTTGTATTTTATTTATATAAAGGTTAATAAGTTTTGTATTTTATTTATATAAAGGTTAATAAAATTTGTATTTTATTTATATGAAGGTTAATAAGTTTTGTATTTTACGTATATATATAATATTTGTATTTTATTTATATAAGGGTCTGTTGACCTTTTTAATGATCCATTGTACTTGGCGTATGGGCCTATTGGCCTAGGCCGCTGTATAATTTTCAAATTAGTAGTCGTAAACCCAAAACTTTAGGCAGGCTGTTCAACAATAATTATAAAATAAAATAAATTTATTAAAGCAATAATCGAGTTAGAACGCATAAAATTGGCTACCAGATTAATTGTAAAAATAAAATCTGAAAGAGTTGACAGGTATGAACAGGTTGTCATTCAGCCAAGACTTTAAACGCAACTAAATAAGTAGCTTTTTGCCTATATGTATGTTTAAACTTTTCAAGTGAAACAGAACTAAAACTCATTTAAAATCAAATATATTAAAATAATAATCAAGTAATGAAAATAAAAATTTTACTACCACGTTAACTATACAATTTTGTGCAACTGTATATTAGTTACATAAAATCTATAATTTTTATCTCTAATTATAACACGATCATTCATTTTTTTTTTTTTTTTTTAATTTTTAGTGTTAGCTAACATAAAAAAATACTTACTTACTTGATAAATCCTTTGCATTCCTTTTTTTATCAACCGGTTATCGCACAGCATCATATATTGAGGACAGTTCCTTTTTTCAAAAACATTCCTTGTGATGGGATATTTTTTCAGCATTATCATTTATCTGGGTGAAATAAAATATTCTTAGATACTATAATTTATGAATGATTTAGTTAGCTCTGACTAGATCTAGAATTATAAGGAGCAAGTACGTTTTGAAATTAACTTTTTGATCTATCAAAGACTTTTTGAATGCCGTAACAGTAGAAATAGCAATTAATTTCGATAATATATTATACCACCTTTTCCATAAAACTACTTTTTGTATCATTTTAATATGTAAAGTCAGAACAAAACGGGTTAAACAAACGATTCCTATAACTTAAAGCCTCCACACGGTTTCTTATAGGTAGTCCGATCAGACCACAATGAAGTGAAACCTGTTTACGAAAGACACATTTAATAGAAAATCTAGTAAAAATAAGGTTCTAAACTTTAATCAATTTATTCCCACACACTTATATGGTAAAATTGGTTAGATGGATTTGTGTATACTAAGAAGTCATACCTTTCTGTTGCCTAAGACTTTATCTTAAAAAACATTGGGACTTAAAAGACATTGTACGTATACAGTTGATCCAAATATAAGTAGTTATATTGTTAATATAATTATGTAAGCAAAACTACCTTGCTCCTGCATGTTGACTATAAAGCAAATACAAATTAAGAAGCACATTTATTATCTCTCGTTTCTTTTTTTAAAAGATTCATTCCAGATATGTTAGTTTTAAATTAGTGGAAATAATTGTTCTAAAGTTTTAAAGTGTCTCATAACTTTTAATGTTACGCTTGCCACGAACATATAAGTCACAGATCAGTTACCAGTCACCCTCCGTTAAACTTTATTTCCCATTTTATTGAAATTCTTTCTACCTGAAAAAGTGGTAGACTCAAAATATTTATTTCAAACATTTGTCTTATTTAGAATCAGATAGGTTTAACCCGTTTTGTTCCGACTTTATGTATTGAAATGATACAAAAAGTGGTTTTATGGAAAAGGTGGTATAATATATTATTGAAATTAATTGGTTTTTATACTGTTAGGTTGTTGATAGATCAAAAAGTACTTGCTCCTTACAATTCTGATCTAGTCAGAGATAATTAAATCATCCATAAATTATAGTATCTGAGAATCTTTTATTTCCCCCAGATAAATGATATTGCTGAAAAAATGTCCTATCACTATGAAAGTTTTCGAAAAAAGGAACAGTCCTAAATATATGACGATGGGCGTTAACCGGTTAAAATTTTAAGGATTCGTTGTTGAAAAACAATGGAACTCTAAATTGTATGCCAAGTTTATTTAGATTATAACGCATACTCCCGACATTTCGAACCATAAGGTTCGTGATAGCAATTCTCAAAAAATTCAAGATAGTAATTGCTATCTCGATTTTTTCAGAAAAATCACAATTTAATAAAGCAATTCTTTTCTATTTAATGCATACTTGTTCTTGTATTACTCTTAAAAATTAAATTATCATTGTTGTATTTAGACAATAATAGTCATTATTTAATTTTATTTAATTATTTATCTGATCGTTAAGACACGGTTCCCTGCAGATCACCGATGTCAAGCATCACTGGCTGCGGTCAGTGTGCGGGTGAGTGACCACTTGGATCAGTCTGCGTAGGGACCGAAGGTGTGCGGCATTGGACCTCGTTAAACTGTTCTACCGTAAAGTGCTCGACTTCGCGAGCAGGTCGTCGAGCTACCGAAGCGGGGGTGCCATCCCATCTGCAGAGGATCAAAATTGTGATGGCATGTCTTCGGATCATNGCTTCTTACCATATCCCCCCCCCCCGAAAAAATATCCTGGCTACGGCCTTGGTACTTGCTCCTTACAATTCTGATCTAGTCAGAGATAACTAAATCATCCATAAATTATAGTATCTGAGAATCTTTTATTTCAAACAGATAAATGATATTGCTGAAAAAATGTCCTATCACTATGAATGTTTTCGAAAAAAGGAACAGTCCTAAATACTGACGATGGGCGTTAACCGGTTAAAATTTTAAGGATTCGTTGTTGAAAAACAATGGAACTTTAATTGTATGCCAAGTTTATTTGGATTATAAAGTATACTCCCGACATTTCGAACCATAAGGTTCGTGACAGCAATTCTCGAGATTCTCGAAAAATTCAGGATAGTAATTGCTATCTCGAATTTTTCAGAAAAATCACAATTTAATAAAGCAATTCCTTTCTATTTAATGCATACTTGTTCTTGTATTACTCTTAAAAATTAAATTATCATTGCTGTATTTAGACTTTTAGTCAACTATCATTACATACATATTTAATAGTAATTATTGTTATGTTTCAAGACTCTACTTTATATATAAAGTAGACATTACATTACATACATTAAATAGTACTCTATAGAGTACTATTTAATGTATATTATTTTACTTTTTAGAAGACATTTAGTTCTGAACTTGTTATCTCATATCCATCATTGTATCTATATTATTTTAGGTTTTAGAAAGCTTACATTCAGTAGTATATAAAATTGGATGTTTCAAGGCGTGCTTAGCTGCATTGGCCCTGAAAAAACTGCAACTTTCTGCTACCGAAGTCAACCATCGAATCAGTTGCGATCAGTGTGTGGGTGGGTGACAACTTGGATAATTCTCTGTAGGGACCGAGGGTGTGCGGTATCGGTCCTCGTTAAACTGTTCCACCGTAAAGTGCTCGACTTCGCGCGCAGGTCATCAGGCTACTGAAGGGGCCATCCCTTCTGCAGGGGATCAAAATTGTGATGGCATGTCTGCGGATCATCCTCAGGAATGTTTCTCAGACCGTCGCTAATAGCCCATTTTGCAGCTCTAGTGCCACGTAAATGAACTACAACTTTCTGCTAGCCTCTACTATAAGCTTCATTAATAAGCTATAAGCTTAAGCAAAGGACTCATTAATTATTGTAAACCCTGTGTTTCAGCTCACAGCACTGAAATTTTGTCACCCATATCTACTGAAGTTTGGGATGTTTAAAAACAAATTGTGATGGCTTTGCATTTAAAATACGAAACTCTTCCTAAAAATCCAGAATTGGCAGAGTCATTTGATGTTTATATGTGTAATGGCTATTCTCTTCCCTCGTTTGCTGTCAAGTTTTTAAAAGAGGAGGCCAGTTTATTTGAAGCAAGAGATGATGATGTTTATATTGTTTCTTATCCTAAAACCGGTAAAAATTTCAAGGGATTTTCTTGTCGAGTTCTATAAATTTAATTTGTACTTTTCGGTTGACCGAGCACCAGCGAAATGTTACCTACATAAATAAATGCGCCAACATAAAATAAATTAAACAACTATATCATTTATCATGTATATAAAGCAGTAACGTAAGAAATAGTTCGCCGGTTTTTTTCATTCCTGATGAAAAGTACCATTTAATTTATAAATTCCTTTTTTATGAAGTTTTGGAGATATTTCCATATCAGTACCTGTTTGTGCCAACTATGGGGATATTTCCGTATCGTGATCTATCATGTCAATTACAATTGCCGATGTGCCAAATAGATTTTAAACTTGCATATTTAAAAAAAAGAAAAAAAAAAACAGCATATAATGTTTGGCTACAACTATGTCACATAACAAAACTGAAATTAAATTGTAACATAAGGGGACCAACTTGAATTGTATAACTTGTAACAATAAATATATATATATATATTTATTAGTTCCAATCATATTTGATCCATAGTTTTGACTACGAGATATCTATTTTCTGTATGCCGATTGNAAACTGAAATTAAATTGTAACATAAGGGGACCAACTTGAATTGTATAACTTGTAACAATAAATATATATATATTTATTAGTTCCAATGATATTTGATTAATAGTTTTGACTACGAGATATCTATTTTCTGTATGCCGATTGTATAAGTTAATCAGTGAAAAAACCAAAAAGGAAGACTTCTGAAATTAAAAAAAAAAACAAAAAAAAAACAGAAAAGTATGTCTATTAAACAGCTTTATTGTTTTTATTTGACTGAAACCGGTATGCACTTGTTTAGGTTCGTGTATCCATTGGTTAACATTGTAATGCAATACGTTAAAAATAAATTCAAATAGGAAGGATATGAAAAATCTCTTGAATGTAAACACCCATTACATGTATGCTTAAATATAAAAGTATGGTATATTAACTCGTGCAAAACATGTAATTATTAAAAAACTACAGTGTGTCTAATAATTTGGTAAAATTATTATATGACCTGATATAATAAATGTTCTATATTTATATTATGTAACAACTAATTTATCCAATAATCGAATTTATATTGTATATAGTCTAATTTAACCAATTGATACACGAACGTAAACAAGTACAAACCGGTTTCAGTCGAGTAAGCTGTATAGTATCACCTGATAATTAAGATTTTACATATAAAATTATAGCAAGTTGAATGATTTGGCCAGTGACAGTATTTTTTGTGGGATTAAGCAGATGAAAATGAAGTCGAATCCATTGCTGAGTGGAATCTTTATGACGAAACTGCTAGCATTAATGAATCCGAATAGATGCTTTTGAATTTTAAAATTTGTAGATGTATAGTCTGTTTTAAAAGTTATCATTGTTTTATATTTTTTGAAATATTCTTGAATATACTATCTTAAATTTTTGTATTCTTTCTTTTTTCTTTTCTGAACGCAATTTAAAGCATTGTTTCTAATAAAAACCTTTACAGGATTCCCATGATCCTTAAAAACTGCTTAATTTTTATTTTGGAAAATAAGAGTACTTAATTTTGATACAAGGTTTTTAAAGTTACATAATTTTTCTGCATCACTATTACTTGATAGGAAAAATTTTTTCAGTCTTACAAAAATACTTTTAAAAAAAGTCATTATTTTATCACCTAGAATGAGACCATGCATTGAGGGTAGAGCATTTTAGAGAGATAAACTTTTTGGCTTAACTTAATATTTAGCATGATTGGCCCACAACTGAATATGAGATGTGTGTCTAACAGTGAAATATAAAAACTTGTTTTAATGATTTTTTCAATGTTTATCTCAAATTTCTTTATTTACTCTTTTTTTTAAATGTATGAAAAGAATTGCATATCTTAATTTCTGCACTTAATTTTACGATGCGATTTCAATGAAATAATTAGAAATGGAATATGGTTTAGTTTCATAGATGTTTTTAACATTTAACAATCTGAAAATATTTTTTTGAAAAAACCCAAACCGGGTTTGCCAAATTTAACTGGTCCTACTTTGGCAAAGCTTATTAATTAATACAATTATAATCAGTTCTTACATTATAATAAAATTATTAAGAAAGGTAAATAACCTGTCAGTGGTGGTATATTTGATGATAAACAATCATACTATTTTTAAGATCCTTAATTTTTCGAAAAAGTCCTTAATTTTTTCAAAAAAAAGTCCTTAATTTTTTCAAAAAAAGTCCTTAATTTTTTCAAAAAAAGTCCTTAATTTTTGCTTTGTTTAAAGAGTGGGAACCCTGCTTTATATATAAAGAAAATGTGATGAGAGACAATGCAAAACTGGGTAAATTGATACAGTGTTATTTATATTCATCTTATTGCTTATAATGAAACGATGTTTTATAATCATCAAATGTCAGACTTTATTACCGGTCCATCTATAAGTCGATTCTCTGATTGCCAAGATCTACGATATTATTCAAAATAGATATACTTAATATATTCTATCAAGGCCTAATATCTACAATAATAATTGCTTTGCTATGAATGATGATATATTTTTTATTACTGTGCTTTATATTCAGCAAGGAAGTTAAATTTCTGTGTAAATGTTTACAGGTACAACCTGGTTGAAAACAATGGTGTACCTTATTCGCAACAAACATTTTCAAGCATTACCAAAAAATTTAGATGAGAAATTTCCATACATAGAGCATGCAAGAACAAATTACAGTTCAGTTAAAACTATGGAATCTCCACGATCACTTACGACTCATTTGCCTTATTCTTTATTACCAATGGACATCCATAAGAAGAAATGTAAAGTAGGTAATATTTTCAATCATTATTGCATTGTAAATTGGATCACATTAAACTAATATGTCAACTGTAAACCATTAATTTAGTAATTGTAGGAATTGAATAATTGTGTCAGTGCATAAAAAAAAAAGTTATCAAAGTTTAAAGAAATTCTAAATTTGATATTCAATTCCTCAGTATTTTGCCAAATAAAATTTTTTTAAATTATGTAAAAATTTGCAATTCTAATTTTTTTACTATTATTAAGTAAAATAATAAAAAAATATATTTTGCATGGAATCATTGTTGTATGAATGAATTTTATAAAGTTCTCGTAGTATGGAAAATTAACATTAATTACCCCTAATTTTTGAAGATCTGAAATCCAAATCTGTTGGAAAAAAGGCATGTTTATTCAGAGAAAGTAAATTTTTGTGATTGTCTCTGTAACGTTAAACATCATCTGCACTAATTAACTAGCATATTTAAGGGCACTCTTTTAAGCCTCTAAGATTGAGCCTTAGTGTGTGATTAAGCCTTAGTGTATATCAAAAATTTTTCAGGGTGTTCCTTTTTTTATGTACAGAATCTTTAGTGAAAAACGAACTATTTTTGTGCTTGTTCAAGATTAGAAAATGGTATATTTATAGTTAAACTGTATTGTAAACTCTAAAGATGCAAAAATTGCATATTTTATCTGATGTTTTGAGATTATGGAACACTAACAGTTTTTTTTTTCTTTACATTTTACTATAAAGCTATTCAAAGCTTAATAAGAAAGTTTAAAAAATAAAATCATCGACAAAATTATTACGTTACACATTATATTAAAAGTATTTCACAAAGATCTTTCACCAACAATGCAAATAATATAATTTTAAGCTATTTTTTTTTATTGTAAAATATTATCTAATGGTTACTTTTTTCTTAAAATACGGTAACACGAAAAAGTTAAATTGAGATTTTTAAGAAGTAAGATTTTTATTTTGGTTTCTGTCTAGCTTTTCTTTTTAAAAACTTATGTTTTTATTATGATGTGGCAATTAATACGGTTTCTATTACACTTTAATCTCCACTTTTTCTTTAAAATACGGTATTTCTAAAAGTGAAATGTTTAGCTTCAAAATTTTCTTTAAAAAATTGAGATCGATTTTTTTTCTTTCTGTTTTACTTTTATATGTTATCCTTGTTTTTTTATGAGCTTTTTATGACAGCGCAGCAGTTATAAAAGCGTTTCTGATAGACATTATCTCTTTAAATGTTTTATAAAAAATCTTTATCTGGAAAATATTATTTTTGTATTAAAGTTCTGTTAAAAGGATATATTTTTTTTTATTTCTCTTTCTTCAACTTAAGTTTTTTTTAATAGGTGTATGTTTTTTATTTATCTGAAATATTTCTAATTATCTTAAACATTTTTATTTAAGTGTTTTTCTCTTTAACCCATACCAATTATACAGCTGAGTTTTAATTATTTTTCAATAATAACTACTTATTACCGAAATTTGCCAGTTTCCTGTGCATTTCCGTATAATCGAGCTTTTTCTGTTACTTTTACTGTACATGTCATTTAAAACTGTTATTATATTAAATTTTGAACTTAATGCTATTGATTTTCAACGATAAAAAAATAAATAAAACTTCCTTTCTATAAAAGGTTTGTACAAAAATAATTCTGAAGAATATTTGTTGAATGAAATTAAGTCCAGGTTTAATTTGAATTAACCCACTGACGGTTCTGCACGTAAAAAGTCGCATTTTAACCTGCAATCTTCTCTGCATAGCAAAACCGGTTTTCCTATGTTAATGGATAGGGGAACTGTGCGTAGGGGAGAAACATTCTCCCAATTTTGCCCTTTTCCTTAACCGCCAGTGGGTTAAATAAAGTGATGAGATTGATCATTTTGCTCAATAAAATAAATAAAAGATAAAATTAAAGTCAAGGATATCTCAAAATGAGAACAAAATTTGTAATTCATCTTTCGCCAAGCAACATCTAAATTTTTAAAAAAATTTTAGATTACCACTACAACTTTCCAAAAAATTAAATTGCAAAGCACAATAAAGTAAAAAACAACAACATATAACCTTATTTGTCTATCTTTTTTTTCAGCAGTTGCTACTTATTTCTTTTTAAATCTTGCTTATATTAATAAAATAATATTACGAAACAAAAAAATTTGAATGAAGGATTTTTAAATGAACCTTTTTTTAAATCTTTTGTAGCTTAAAAAACCGTTTTAAGATTTAACATTCATGAATCTCTTATAATTCATGAAATATGAATATATTCTAAAAGCTGAAAATATATTGATACCGAAATGAATCTCATTTGAATGTTAATCTTTGTTTGAGCTTTATGTCTTTGTTTGTTTTAAAATATTTAAATTGTATTTTTGTTGCTCAATAAAATATTCATCTATATTTACTTTCATTCAGTTTATTTTAAAATACTTTTGTGTTACATGATGTGATAAAAAACCATCTCTTTTTCTCCATCCTCATATTTTTTTTTCAATTCATCTACTTTTTGATAAAAAAGGAAATATTTTTATTTTAAAAGGTATCAGTTTGGTACTCTTAAGTATTGAATTAATTCAATACTTAAGAGTTATTCAATAATTAATCCGATTAATTCAATACTTAATTAATATTCAAAAGAATTAAATTTTAAGCAAATATATTACTGAATCTTATTATTATCTTAAATTTTTTTTAACTATTTAAAAGAATTTAGTGTAAATATATTACTAAATTAACTGATTTAGTGTATTGTGTCTAAAACACACTAATGTTTACATTAAAATTATCATAATTGCTGTCAACATGTCTATATACTTGGACATGCACCCTTACAATAAAAATAACCCTTAATTAGACTTTGAAGAATATATATATTGTAAGATAGTGAGTTATTTTCTCGTGTTAAGATAAATGTTTCGATGTGGTAAGTATATACAAAGTTCCAATTTATTATTTTTTCTAAATTTTGCCTTTCCATCACAATTATTTCTCATTAATTGATATTAAAATAATTTAAATTTCAATAAAATAAATTATCATAAATACCCGAACATTTAGTCATAGTACACTTTCTACACATTACAGTTTAAAGAAATTGTGTTAAGTATAAGATAAGATGCATTTATGAACCTTACACAGGGGTCTGTCCAGGGAAAATTTACTACCGTTTAGCGGCATCTGCTCAAATTCAACTTTAGGAAAAATGGTAATTTCACAAATAAAAAAGCAAGTTCTCATGCAAACCCCGTTCTCATTGCAATCTATGGAAAAGAGCTTTTTGGGCAGCTGTCTTTCACGAAAAGATAGCGCTTGTTTGATTAGATAGTGCAATGTGGAAAATCTAGTCGGTCGCTTTCGCCATATCAAAGCAAGCTTCTTTTTTTTCGCTGAGTTTTTTAAAATGAAAGATGAGGCTCTCCGTCTATAAACTTTACAGGAAGTCTAAATTAGAACATTATCTTAAACACTATTGTAAATTTATTCTAACAGACCTTTATTTTTTTTATTAACCTTTTTTTTTCTTGGAAACTTTTTTCTGTATGACCCAATTAAAATTGTTCCCATTATTAAAATAACTTTTAGTGCAATACAATAACATTTAGTGTACCGTTAAATGCCTGTTTTCATTAAATTCAAGTTAAAAATTTAACTATGGACAGTGATTTTTAAATTTGGATACAATTTTTAGCCCAAAATTTTACAATAGCAAAATTGTTTTTGAATGTATGGAAATTTACCAGCCGTAAATGATTTTTATTTGTAGTGTCAATTTTTGTGTAGCAAAATATTTTCTTACTTTACCATATTTTTGTGTTGATTTTATGATATAATTTTTAATTTTCACAAATTATGTCTAAATTTTCACAAAATAGGTACCTCTTGAAAAAACCTAGACAGACCCCTGTTTCAGGTATGTATGTCACAGGCCATAGTAAAAAACAATGATATATCAGAATGACTGCTTATAGTTAGATAATCAAGATAAGGTAAAAATAAACTAAAATACTATAAATTATATATTTAAATGAGCTTTCTTTCTAGATCTCTAAAAGTACTTGATTTTTCTGGTTAGTCTGCTTTTAATTGAATATATTTAGAATTAAATGTCTAGATTTTACAATACTTTGTAATTTACGATACTGAATGTTTTAGATTTTGTATATAACAAGAAATCCAAGAGACGTTGCCGTGTCATATTATCACTTTGCTGTTATGCTTGCAGAAACACAATATAAAGGAACCTTCAATCAATTCTTTGAAAGATTTCTTCAAGATAGAGGTACAAAATTCTACAATATTAGAGTACATTGCATGTGTGTACTTATTTTTATATTGAATTATTTTTTTCAGCTACTTACGGTCCATTCTTGCATCACAATCTAGAATTTTGGAACCATAGAAATGATTCAAATGTTCTCTTTTTGTTTTATGAAGATTTAAAACAGGTATGTTTTACAGGGGTAGAAATTGAGAAAATTTATTCGCTGGTCCGACTAGAAAATAATACTAGTCTTTCTGTGCACTGTTTCATTGGTTAGTTTGCATGCCACAGTTAGATTTTTTTTTAAAAAGTGAATTTAAATGAAAAAGTGTAATGCCCATGATTATGTGTGAATTTGCATAATGTATAGCTAAAAGATAAAATCATAAAACTTGTGGGGAGAGTTGTTATCGACAATGTCAACTATGAAAATGTACTCCATAATAGATTTGAGTTAACATGTCGCTTATATACTAGTGAATTGGAATTGTATTTTTGTACACACTACAGTACTCCCCCACCAGAATTATAGCTGTGATAGAATTGGATGAACGGATACTACTAGTTGATTCATTGCTGTTTTGTGGGAGTGCTGCAGGCTGCAGTGTGTCTACCACTACGAAATTAAAATTCCAATTCACTAGTATATGACAAGTTAACTCAATTCTATGTAGAGGTACCTTTTCATACAAGAACGTTGACATTGTCAATAACTCACTCCCCAAATTGGTGACCCGGACATGATGTGAACATGCCTACCTTGTCAGAAACTCCTACTTCGATCTGAACACGCCTATCTTGACAGTAACGCCCATTTCGATCTGAACATGCCTACTTCAATCGATGGTCCACATCGAACAGTTGACTTTTATTTTGACATTATCCACCTCCTCTTGCTGTTCCTACTCAGTCTCGATCACACACAACAGCCGGCCTGTATACACTCGACTGTTAATGGCAACACAGGAGCGATCATGACCGTGAACTCAATACAGTTCTCGCGATCAGCAAAAGTGTGGCAATCTTAATACAGCTCTCCTGGCTTCTGACAAAAAACAGCAATCAATCAACTAGCAGTATCCATTCATCGAATTCTGTCACAGATATAATTCTGGTGGAGTACTGTAGTGTATCTACCATTACAAAACCAATTCACTAGTATATAAGACATGTTAACTCTATGTTGAGGTACCTTTTCATAGATGTAGGTTGGCATTGTCGATTTCTATTCTCCCCCCAAACCAAAACAGCATACCGTCTCTTTACGATTTATTGTCCAGGGGATCACGGATAATTATTATGATGAAATTTTAGAGGTCCCGTAAAACCATTCATTATGTTACATGATAAATGTTACCATGTATATGTCTGTCAACTTTTTATCTTATATTCAGTGTGAAAGTCAAAAGCATTTTAAATTAAATTTATAAATCACATAATTGACTAGAAAGCATAAGTTTTACTACCAAATTATATATAAAAATAAAGTATCTGCATTAAATTATTATTAATTAAAAGTTATGTAATAAAACTATTCTTATAGTAAAACTAAGCATGTAATGATCCTAAATTACTTTCAGATTAATAATTTGTAGATTATTAGTGATTGATTCCTGTAAATAATATCTATGGTGTTCCTCAGTTAATCACAGTCATGAAAAATAATTTTTTGAATTCTTGTTTACAAGGGTTACAAATTAAAAACTGGGAAAACAAAAATGTTTAGTGATAAACTATGGTGGCAAAGTAAGCCAAAATATAGTGTGAAATTAAATTTATTTCAAACTTGATGTTCAATGGAATGGGGTGCTCCTTAACATTAGGCATACAAAGAATTCACATGTTTATACAATTCATAACAATATTCGGTACAATATTTAATAATATACCTAGAAAAAACTAAAATTTTAAAAGATATTTTCAATCACCTGGGTTGTTTTGAAAAAAGTTTGAATATTTCTGTGATTTTTAAGAAATTTTGGTGTTTATTTGCATTTGTGGAGACACCTGTGGAAGAATTTTTTCGGACTTTCTGCATAGTATCTCTTTAATACTAATATCTTTCTGCAAGATACTTAAAAAGAGCAAATATACATGTTGCTAATTTAAAGTGACAGAAGCGTAAATTTAAAAAAAAAAAATATTTTTTGTAAATTGAATATGTATTTTTTTTTTTTAAAATTCTAATATTATGGGCGATATTCTCACATTTTGTTGGAAAATCACACACTAATTATTTCCTTTTTTCCAATGAGCATGAGAAAGGCATTTTTTGAATATAACTGGAAAAAAAGATAAAATCTTTTGAAAATTTCTGCAGAAAAGAAAAGTAAAAATCTTTCTGCCAGAATGCTGTAACATTCTGCGACAATGTAGACTTAGATTCTGCTACAGGGTGTAGACATTGTTGTACTAATTTTTCAAGTGGCATATTTATTTATTTTTTGAAAAGAAAAATTGTCCAATGTTTTTAAATCTTTTTGAATGCTTTAAAAAAAATGATTAGAGATTTAACATGAAAAATTTGTATGCATAAACTCTGTACTTTATTTGTGGTATTGTTATTCTTTTGATGTTACTGTTTGATTTTTTGTAGGATTTAGCTGGTTCTATTGATAAAATTGGTAAGTTCTTAGAAGTTTCTCTAACAGTTGAAGAAATAAAGTCTGTCATAGAACACTGTAATTTTAAAAGTATGTCCAAGAGTGAAAATTTAGAAATGTCTTCAGATTTAAAGACACATAAAGATGCCAAGTTTTTCCGTAAAGGTGTGTACAATTATATTTTACTGTTTATCTAGAACTTTTTAAGTGTTTAACTAAATTAACACTTCCAATTATATTATTTAGACGTATATTAGGTATTCTTTACACAGAGCTATTGTAAATGAAAGATTGTGTTCTTTAAGCCAGAAATTTATTCTCCCAAACCATTTAAAGAAAGCCTTTTTATTGTTAAAATTCCGTTATTTAAATGAAAATGTGCTTTATTTTACAGAACAGAATTGTTAATAAATTACAGAAATTTTTAAAGTTCAGAAAAACAAAATTCTCTTTTTTTAATCCACTTCAAAATGACTAACAAAAAACTAGTTTTCAAAACCCTTTGCAAATGCAAATTTGTTTATACGTATTTGCACTTGCAAAACATTGAGACTTGAAGTAATTATAATTTCATAACAAGTTAAATCATTTAGTAATATGATTTCACTTAAAATTATTGCCCAATTTATATTTATAAAATCTCACTTTATATTAAAACATTTTTTAAAATTCTATTTAACTTTAGGATTTTTGCAACAAAAAAAAAGTGTTTTTTTTCCTGTGCCGTTATTAAATTAAAAATATAAATAAAATTAAAAAAAACACATTTATTAGATAAAAATAAGTTTTATATTTTCTTTAAATTTGTAATAAAATGTATTAAAATTTTTCAGAAAACGTTTTTTAAAATAGTGTTAAAATATGACAAACTAAGATAATTTTATAAAGATATTAATTTAAGAGTTAATACTATATGACTGTTATTGGTATAAAATTAAAAGACGCTTATTTATGTTTGGTTATTTAAAACTGATGTGAAGAATGCATCACTTTGACATAGTAAATTTACTAATAAATCAACTGAAGTAACTTAATCTTTCAGAAATTAAGCTTAGTTCAAATAAATGGAACCATTAAAAAATTTTCTATAATTATTTTTTTTTTCAGTGTAGCCACTTTAACCTATTTTTTTTTAAAGAACTCGCAGGAAAATACCAACAAGATGTTATGAAGCAATTTATATTTAGTTAAAAATTTTTCTTGATAAATGTAGTTACAGAGTTAAAAAAATAACAAATAATGTTAAAAGAACGAAACCAACTGAACTTTTTTATCAATTTTCTGTGATTACATTCCAAGAAAAAGGTTGGCAAAAATGGTGATTTTTAAAAAAAATTGGTTTATTTGACTCAAATCAGATTTTTTATTTTTTAATGTGCTTAACATTACTAATAATACTTACTATTATTTCGAAACAATATTATAGCTAAAATACATTGACAAAAAAAAATAAATCCCAACATCAAGAAGGAATTGTGCTTGATAAAGTAAATTTGGTATGCTTGTTTACACAGCTAAATAATTCAAATTCCACGCTCGGTACGTAAGTTTGGCACAAGTAGCGCCACTGTGAACATGCTAATCAGGGATGCATTAAATACGTGTTCTTCAGTTCGTAAACGTTATTTCTTCTTTTTTCAATTTTATTTATTATGTTAAGTTTATGTTGTAATGTTTTGAAGTCTACTGCAAGTAAGATTGTCTTGATGCAGTAGTGTAAATTTCAAAAAACATTTTAAAAATTCATTATCAAAAGATAGTTTTCACAGGTGTTTAGCACACTCAAAATATGCCTCTTTAAATATAGCACTTCTATTAATTATATTATTACAAAAAATATTTTAGAATTAATTTTTTTTTAAAAATCAGCTTGTTAAAATTAATGGCTTTTAAAAAAGTCAGATTTAAATCATGCCAACAAAGTATAAAAATTTTTCATCTCACTTTGCAAGGTTAGCATAGAAGCATATACAAAATTCTTTTTCCTCCACGGGGAAAGGAATTGAATATTCAGAGGTGCCTACTGGTACGATTTTCTAATCAAGATTACAGTTTTTGTATAGAATTTTATAGTTTACAGCAAAAACTTTACTTTAAATTCATGCATAGTATTATTTATATTAAGTATACACCTTATATAGAATTCAGTAGTAAAAATACATTGAAATTACTCTGAAGTGAATTTAGCATTTCTGATAGCTAGTTTGGAATGTTGGCACCTTTGAAAAGTAAATGCAATTCTATTTTAGATCAATATTGTTTTTAATTTGGAATGAACATATATGAGTATCTGCTTAATAGAAAATGGATATATTATTTCTCAGAGTGGAATATTGACAGGAAACCTTTTTTCCCCCTAGGAGAGATTGGTGACTGGAAGAATTATTTTGATGAGGATATGATTGAACGTTTAAACCGAAAAACAGATAAAGTGTTAAAAGAGTCTGGACTGATATACACTTATGAAGTTTGATAATAATTTTTTTTACTAAAGACACATGTATTTATTAAGGTTTGGGAGTTTATTTTTAATAATAAAGTATTTTATTTTTTTACTGACATATCATAGATTTAATTGTCTCTGTATTCGAAACACTTGATTTAGTTACTGCACAATCCCAATTATACAACACCCTTTCTGACACATGTTTCAGCATTTTTTCAATTGATGTTACCCAATTACAGCTGTGATGAGGAATCTAAAAGCAGACTAATAGAAAACAAAATGCATCAATAGGACTTTTTTTTTTATGCAAGATGGTAGCATTATTTAGTATACATTTTTTTAAACTTGATTATAGCTTCTATTTACTTTTACGGGGAATTAAAATAACGGAAAATGTGAATTTGTTTCTTAGTCTAGTGAGCACTCTAAGTGCTGTTTGAGGAATATAAAACTCTTTAATTTACATTGTCATTATTTAAGTATGTTCAGCTGTTTCTTTTTTTTTTCTCTTAAGTTTTTCCAGGAATTAAAAATTGTTGAGCTATATTGGTGAATAATTTGCACAGTGAATTTTTTTTCCAGATTTGAGTGGCAACCACCTATCTTAGTTTAATGTTCATACATTTAGCTTGAAAATGCCCCTTGATTATACAACATACACTTGGTTCCAAAGGTCTCAGATAATCAGGAATTTACTGTTTTGGTATTTTCGAACACTCTCATCATTATCAATATTTCTCTCCAGACTCAGATGAATCTTGAGTTATGCCTGTTTTAATCAATATCCAATTCACCTTTGTCTGCTTATATAAATACAGAGTGTTTTTTGTTTTGTTGATTATATGAGGTAATTTTGTCTTTTATACCACACTTAATCAGCATATTATTTAGAGATTAATGAGGAATGCTGTATGATGATATAGCTCTAATAACATTGTGTGATCCATTTGACGGACAGCTAAGTAAGTGAATAAATATAATTTTAGGCCACTATTTTTAAATTCTTTTCTTTAACCATCCAGAAGACAATTCAATATAAATTATTTTGTTTCACTATTTAGAAACCTTAGACCGTGAATTTAAAGGTTTAAGTAGGTTGATTTTGGTTTAAAATGCACTATATTCTCGAAATAAAACTCCAAAGTTTGGTTTGCTAAATTGAATACAGAAAAAAAATCTCTGTTCAATATTTTTATAAACCTTGATACTAAACACAATTTACAATAAACCTTTTTTTTTTTTTTACAACAAAAAAGAATGTTTTAAAAGGTAAAAAGTCAAGTTATGGGTTAGAAGACTAAGCATCTTCTGCAGCTTCAAGAATGGATGTTCCATAAACTAAATCCCAGTAATGTTCCACACCTCTCTTTTTGAAAAACTCTCTTGCAAAAGTCTCTGTCGGACACAACTTGAACATTATGTCTCCAAAACTACGCTGTGTTACTGTGCCCTATAAAATAAAAAAATATCATTTGTAAATCGGAATAGAGAATCAAAATGAACCACCAATAAATAAATCAAATATTATATCACCAAATTGGGATAGATAATGCTCTGCAAACTGTGTAACGCAGCATTTCATTTATGTGCTTGTGAGGGTACTATGGTAACTAATTAATAAAACTGAAGTGGTATGCCTTCTAATAACCAGCTTTATTATTTTTTTTTTACATGCACCNAATATTATATCACCAAATTGGGATAGATAATGCTCTGCAAACTGTGTAACGCAGCATTTCATTTATGTGCTTGTGAGGGTACTATGGTAACTAATTAATAAAACTGAAGTGGTACACCTTCTAATAACCATCTTAATTATTTTTTACATGCACCTGTTATTGGTTGCAGTCGGTTATTAACTAGTTTGATGAGCATTCTTCTGACTTTGTTGTCATGCCACTTTAAAAGTTCTGAAAAAATTTTGATCACCTTTTGCAGGTTTTGAAGAAAGGTTTGAAAGTATTAGGGATCTAACGCGTATTCGGTTAGCCGAATGTTCAACCAAATATTCTGCATTTTTTTAAATTTTTTTTTTTTTAAAATTTGAATAGATTTAATAAAGAACAATCTAAAATTGTATTTTTACTAAACCTTATTTAAAATAGTTTATACATACATTTGTTAACTTCTAAAATTTACATGCAGCTTGCAAAATTTTAAGAATTAGATTTCTTAAGTTTTATCTTAAGTTGCTTAAATTTTGATATTCTTAAAACAGACTGCATGATTTTTTGGTTGTAGTTATTCTTTTTAGGTGAGACGGGATTGAAAAAAAAAACACCTTATTAAAAACATATTTGTTTCTAATAAAATTTATGATGAAACACAATTTACATTTTAAAATTGTTATGCTACAATAGATCTTTCGAATGCACACCTTAAAACATAAGGATTTGCATTATATAGATCATTTCACACTAAACTTATCGACTAAACATGAAGAAAAAAAAACATCAAGAATCAATATAAAAAAGCATTAATGTTTTTATCCTGTTCTTACAAAATTATGGTGATCTTTCAAAAAATGAAAGAAGGAACGTAATTTCTTCTGAGATTTCTGAATTTTTTTTATCTATTTATTATTATTTTTTTTAATCAATTTAAAATTCTAGCTTAGGCTTCTTATAAGAAGAAATAAAACAGGTTTAAATAACTACATATGTATTTAGTTATTTGCTTTTGTATTTTTTATTTTACCTATTTTATTGCTTTAACTTTTTCTTTACTGTGTTTTATAAGTTTAAAGTCAATAAATATGAAGATGCAGATAATAACAGTTTTGGTTATGCCTATCATTTCAATTAATGTTATTTTATATTTTAATAAAATATGGCTGTGAATGGAGATTTTGTTACAAATTCTGATATTCGGAACACCGTGAAATTGAGAAAGGGGTAAATTGAATTTTAAAAATGAGATTTTTCAGCAACCTAAGTTCATGACTTTCCATGATTTTTTTTAAAAAAAAAATAGTTAAAATCATGACAAATTTTGTTCAATACCGAAATTCATGACTTTTATGATTTCTCATGGCTTTCCAGGTGTGCAGATACTCTGTAATTGATTTAAGTTTAGGAATAAAAAAATCTTCAGATGCTGTGGTAATTTTTTAAAAAAAAATTGTTAGTTGCACAATAATCTGCTGATGGTCTGATAATCAGCCTTCTTATAGTTAAGAAGATATTAAAAAATATGTATATATACTTACTTCCCATACAAGCATACATTTGTTTTCTACTTTATTTCCATGATCATCTATAAACATTAAAAAAACAAAGATCAACTACGATTGTTAGCTCAATTTCTATATGCATCAACCATAACATAGTTATGAATTTCATTAATGTATGAATTGTTTCCATGTAGCACACATTTTATGATAGAAATCACCTCCGTGACAGAATCACAGCGACAGGGCGACATTGTCACAGAACATTATAGAATTCTTGCAGAATGATTTTTCTTTTGAAAAGTAAAAATAATTACTTTTCTTCAGAAATTTACACGTAATATTTGAATCATGCATTTAGATAATCACTTTTTGACATCATGCTCAGTTTACGACAATCGTATCATAAATTGATCAAATGTTTCAATTGTATTTCCAGCAGTTATTGATATTGAGCTGTATTTTAAATATCCCAATATATTTTAAACAATATGGAAAATTTGAATAGTGAATTTGAGTATATACTTTATAGGGCAATGATTCTATCAAGTTTTTGGCAGTTATTGCCATTGATTTCTCCATAGTTTTTAAATCAGATATTTTTTATACATTATTCATTACAACAATCTAATCGCAGGATGAAACACGCATTCGAGGAGTCTAATTCCAATGATTTTGTCACCGATCTTTATTTCGGTAATTACTCCAATGGATTTCATGATTTTTTTTATTCAGATGATTATTTACAAAATGCAAAGAAGGAAATACTTCATGGGCAAAATGTGAGAATATCATCCATAATATTAGAAAAAAAATTATATAAAGTTCAATTAAAAAAAAAAATTATGAAGTTTTTTTCTTGTAAACACAGTACTTTTGATACTTTAAGTTAGTAACATATATGCTCATTATTATTAAAAGTATCTTGCAAAACGATAATAGTGCTAGAGAGTTTTGTCGCAGGATAGCTGGAAAAAATTCTGCCACAGGGGAAACCACCTCAATTTGAAATTTTTAAACAAAGTAGTAATTTTTATTTGTTCAGTTCAAAATTCTTATCTGCCCTGTTATTAATAGGCTTTAGTGCGTAACTCATTAATTTCTATTTATATTAACTTGTTTAATAAAAGCTTGTCCAGTTGTTAAATTTCCTCTTCTACAGTTAGGAAAAAAAATCATTACATTATCGATTTAAGTTTAACTTTTAATGGGTGAGATTTTTCCACACTAAAGTTTTTAAAAAATTGTTATTAATAACACAATACTTTGATTGACTGAACAATATTTTAAATATAATGGAGAAGATGATCTTATAAGTGTTCGAAATTAAAGATTAAAATATGAGACAGGGTTAGCGAACAGGTATTTCAACAAAAAATAAGCAACTTTTAAGCACTCAAAAAATATTTGTCACTTATCAAAAAAAAACAATCATAATCAGGATATGTGCAGTAATAAAAATTATTTCTTCTTATTGCTTCAAGTTCTTCATTTATAAACATAAAATCAACAAAATGCAAAAATATTTTTAAAGACTTTACATAATTATGATAAAATAACTAGTTTCCGATACATATTACAGAAAAAATTGTGAAAATCTTATTTTGAAGGAGGGGAAAGAAATTAAGCCTTTTTACGAACACCGAATGAAAAAAAAAAAGCATCTTTAAGGGCTTCTAAAAAATGTAAATCAAAAATAAGCATTTTTTAAAAGCGCTACGCATCCTGTGAGATTTTACACTAATATTGTTGTTTGTGTTGGGCATGAGTTACAGAAGAGGGGAACTTACTTCCATCTCGAGAATCTTCTTCATTCCATTTAATCCTTTGAAGCATGAGGCGTTTAAACTTTTTTTGCTGATTAGGACCTTCATTTAAAAAATGATAATATTATAAGTATTTATTTTACACATGGTTATAAAGTAAGAATTATATGATAGTGACACACTCACCTCCCTCAACAACAACTACATTGATGTTTCTGTATAAAATCACACATCCAGTCATGTATAGNAACAGTGTGCGAATGGATATTAAAAGCATGGGATGAAATTAAGCCTGAGATGGTTAGAAAATCATTCAAAAAATGCAGTATTTCAAATAATCTGGTCGAATCAGAAGATGGCTGTTTATTTATGGATGAGGGTAACACAGATGATGAAGACGAAACAGATTGTGATGACGTGCCTGAAGAAATAACGGAAGACGAATATAATGAACTATTTATGTAATAACGAAAATCAATAAAGTATATAGGTAAAGGTATGTTATTTCTTTAAAATCAAAGTATTTTTCTATAGTATTTAAATTTTTTTAATCCATAATTTTTTATATTCGGCGTATACCGCACACCCGTAAATTCCAATGTTATTTTTTTTATTAAAAGTGCGCGTTATACGCCGGAATATACGGTAATTAAACTGTATTATTAACTATGCCTGATGCAATAAAAATAGGAAACAAAGAAAGATTTCCAGGGCACCCTGAGTTTATTCGAAGGTCATGAGCTAATCTTGTTTATGGGTTTTAATAATATTATTTATAATTGTTAAAATAGATAACTTCTATATTATATACAATTATTCTTCAATAATATATAATATAGATGGTTAAATAATAAAGAAATTTAATTAAAATAACTAATTAAGTTTGAATAGAGAAAGGCATTTAAAAATTGTTTTTAAAATAATCCATTGATAGTTGACAACAGTTAAGGCAGAATACCACAGTAAGGTTGTTTTTTTCGCAATTCAACTGTAAGAAACCAGAAATCATAAGCTGAAACTTGTACAAATGATAAGCATTTTATATTAATTAATCGAATATGTTTTCAGAAACTTTAAAGGGTATATAAAAACAATGTTATTAGACTTTATACCTTTCATTTTTATCCAGTAAATTTGACATGAATATAACTAACAGTATACCTGTGCATATAACCAATACATGCATATATTACCTATTGACACATATTATTAAACATACATATCTTTTACTCCTAAACCTTAGATCCTTTATATAATATATACTTTACTTACAAATTTAACAAGAGTATAACTAACCATATTTTCTGTGCATCTAATACACTTATACATGTGTATCTCTTAACCATTGATATGAAAAAATATATCATTTACAAGAAAAATTACATTATTAGACTTTGATTTATCGATTGTTTAACAAACCCTAAATATTTTTTTGTCCAAAATGTCACCATTTTATTAATATTTTTAAAAGTTTAATCCCTACACATAATGAATGATATGCTATCTGAAAAAATTTAAGTGAATCAAATAAAAATTAACACATATACTGTGTTTGCTCTTTAGACTTCTCTAAAGAGAAAATTTTAAGTTTAAATTCCAAAAATGTTGAGGAACTTCAGGTTCATTTTCTTATATTTTTATCTTCTAAAGTATAAACTGTATTTACCAAGTTGTTTGGGAACCCATTATTTCAGAAACAGTGGAAAAGTCCTAATTAAAAGGTAAAAAAAAAGAAAGAATAAAACCTGTAGAGAGCTACATGGACACCCGTAGAAGTATCTTCTTTGAGTTTTCTTATTTTCTTTTCTCGTTTTTGTTCAGCAGTGAGCTTTCGAGCAGCGTTAGCTTCTTCATGAGCTCTACAAACAGCAATAAATCGATTACAATTTATAAAATACTTTTTAAAGTTTAGAATCAAAAAGAAATTCTTCAAATTTCATTTAGAATTTGAAGAAATACCTTGTGCATTGCACAGATTCATGTCCACAGCAGTACATATCACACAGAAAGAAACACATAGTACTACACTTCTCACAGAAAGTTCAGGCATTAATAATTATAGAAATTAGTAAATATAACATTTTACAATAAATAGAATTAAAATATATTAAAACTTCGAGTTTGATATTTTATTAAAACATATTCAAATGCAAAATCTTGTAAAAGTCATGATAATTTAATAAGCATAACACATTGATACATTTTTGTACTTTTATAGAATATTATTTAATAGCTTAGTTATTAAATTAATCATTAATTATTTGAATTATTAATATTCATATTGTTAATTACTTAATACATAAAATTATGTAAAGTAGGGGCTAAAATTCAGGATTTATATCTAAATACCAATTTTTGTTAAAAGTTTCAGCGGCATTTTATTTTCGTGAAAAATTTTAGAGTATAATAATTTTCTGTGAGAAAATATCTCCAAGAAATCAAGAAAAAAAAAGAAAAAATTTTTTTTTGAAGGAACTATTTTCTTTAATTATAGTAAACTATCAAGATACTTGTTTATAACTCTTTATGACAAATACTTATTCAACATAATATTTATTTACAATTGATACACACATATTAACAATGAATTCAAATTTACATCACTTTATAAAAATGACCTTGATTACACTTTTTACAATTAAAAGACTTAATAATATACAAATTATTCACCAGCATATGATCATAAATTATATAAAATAGAATTTGGTAAATAGAAAAGTGTTTAAAAAACTTATAAATGGTGTTTTGCAGAATTTTTAAATATTACTGTATTTTGATCTACTAAACCATCTGATAGCTTTTCAAGGCCATTATCCGACTAGTTTGTTAACTTTGTTTTTAAAATATCAAGATAAAATTTTAAAACACTTGATTATTTGTTTTATCATGTGTAAAAACTTATGAAATTAGCAAAAAAGATTTTTTTTCTTTAATTGGACAATTTTTTGGTGATGATAAGGCTTTTTTTTTTGCATACATGCTAAACATTTTAAAAAAAATTTATAGCCTAAAACAAAAAATCCTTTGAATATTTTAATTAGAAGGCTATCAACCTTGTTTTGAACTATTATCTTAACAGCATGGACATATATTATTATGTTAGGGATCAATGTAGTCAAAAAAGCAAATTTTCTGCACTTGTCTTTGAGAAAAAACATGCATAAAAAATGAAATTCTACTTTTTTTGTAACCTGTAGTTCAAAATACGCCTGCTATTATATTAAACACTCAGGAAAAATTGTAGACACTTATTTTTTAAAAAAATATGAGGTATCGTGTTTAAGGTGGGAGTAAATTGTGAAAAAAATTAGTGTCGAATCCGCATCCTAATTGCGCAGACCTAGTGTAAAATATCCTAAGTGGTAGACGGATCATGGTTTAGAGTTTCCTTGACATTCGGCTAACCGTAAGATGTTTTCCTCAACATGTAACGCAAATGCACCAAAAAAGTTCTCCACAAAGGCAAATTTGTAATAATAAGTATGTATTAAAAGCAAATAAGTATGTATTGAATTATTTTTCTGCAAAAGAGCCGAGTGTTTAATAAAAATTTACAGATCCCATTTCTTTATTCTTTCTTTGAAAGAGTTGATTTTGTGGAATAATTTCAAATTTTGTTAAAGTACCGACTTTATTGCAAAGATATCTGCAAAAGTACAGTTTTTGCCTAGTAAATTTTTTTGAAAGTACAGATAAACAACGGTAAAATCCACCTGTATTAGGCCCTGTAATGCACACATAAAAATATAAAACTGAAACACAGCAAAAAATAAATTTAAATTTTTTTTCCCCCTTCTTCTTATTTAAGACTTTGTACTTAAAAACTCTGAATCAATGTAATTAGTAAAATTAAAATTACGCAAAGTTCAATTTTTAGCTTGGAACATTTCAGAGAGAGTGAACAAAATGAATTCTGCTTACTTTTGACGTTTAATCATTTGTTCTCTTACATGAGCTTCTACTTTGGTAGGATCTTGTACAGCTTGATTTCCCAATACTCGCATCAAGTTTGACATTCGCACTAATGGAAGAAAAATACTGCACATCAATTTACAATACCAAATAAATTAGAAAATATTCAAAGAAAACTAAATAAATAAATTTACGCAACTTAATAAATATATGAATTATAGTCGTACATTTGAACGCATGTAAAGTTGTATATCTGGACGCATATAAAATCATATAGCTAGACATCTAATAGTCTTTTGCTGTGTTAAGTTCATCACAAGTGAGATCATTAAAAATACGTAGCTTGGATCAACAGTTATGCAAGTAACGAAATATCTATACTGTAACACCAAGGAGTTTTATGTATAAACTAAACAGGGTGCGTAGCCAAATTTTACAACTAAAAATAAGCTTCTTCGGGATGCATAGCCTAATCTTTCAACAAAGAATAAGCACCTTTTAAGGTTTTAAAAAATATTTATAAGCACTAAATACATTAACAAAATGCAAAATAATTTTCATAGACTTTACATGATCATGATATAATAACCAGTTTCTAACAAAAAGCTCTTTTCTTGATTATATTAGCCATTATAAAAATGATCAAGAGATTTTTCTGTTCGACATCAGAGGGTGGAAAACAAAGCCTGAAATTGAAAATATCTTACAAAATGCAGATAGTGAAATAATCTCACTGAACCCAGCTCAGTAGACGCACACGTGGGGACTCACAAGTATTTCATCAAACATGTAAAATGATTGACGCTTTCATACGCTATGGATTGTGGTTTAATGAATTGTGAAAATATTGAACAGAACAATGTGAAAAGCACACTTTTGCATAAGTGGTGAAAATCAAAATGGTAAAGAAAAAAAATTTCATTTTCGAAAAAGGAAAATTAAGCACTTTTTAAAAACACAAAATGAAAAAAGCACCATAAGGGCTTTTAAAAAACGAAAATTAAAAATAAGCACCTTAAGCACTTTTCAAGTGCTAAAAAATTTTTTTAAGCACTTTTTTTTTTACAATTGACGGTTTTAATCGTCATGTAAAAAAAAAACTTTTGACATAGTATATGACAATTGTCAAAACCCCAAAATTTTGGCATAGGGATAATTATTAGCTAATATAAGTATGAAGTATAATCAAACCTTTAGGTTCTGGTGGTGGCTCTAAACCTAATCTGATTTTTTCTTGTTTTTCTTTCCAGGCCTCTCTTCGGTTTTGTCTCCTCAGCTTTTTTCTTTCTTTTTTAGTTAGATATAATGGTATAAATACAGGTTGAGATGTATCACCTATAAAATAAAATTCACAAATTAGAAATTTTGTTCACATTATTAACCACACAAAAGTTTGAATTGTACAGTTAAAAATTGAAAGAATTGTCTACTGTCCTATATTGTTTATAGCTTCTGCATGGCTTATTTATAACCACTTGAAGAAAATGATGACCCTCCCAATATACCATAATTTCATCAAAATATTTTATTAATTATTTCAAATTCATTAAATACATAATTATAAAATCACTTTTTTTAATAAAAGTTATTCTGAAACAGATATTTTGGTAAATATAATTTGTTTAAAAATAAATAATGAAACATGAAATTACTAAGAATTTGCAGTCAGCAAATGATTAGTCACACCATAATACAGATATTTTAAATTTATAGGAATATGTGTTTTGCTATTTTAATAATCGACTAATAATACATATCTGCCAACATTGGTAGGAAAATTCAGTAAATTTTATGAAATAATGTAAATTTCATGATAATTGTTGCAAAATGTATTAAAGAGGACAAAGGGAGTTTGAATGATTTTTATAGTCATTAAAATAGAAAAATTGCAATATTTTCCAGTAATGATTAACATTAAATAAGCTTCAAATATTACATACAATGTTTACTTTTAATTTTGAATAGTAAATGACATTTAATTCCTCAAAGATAGTTAAAATTTTTTTCAATTTATTTAAAAAGGGAGTTTTGAATAGAAATAAACTGAATATTTTAAAACCAAAAAAGCATTAAATTGATTTCTGAGGCCTGCTTCATTATGTATTCAAATACTTATAAATATTCAAGCAAGCAATATTCTGTGCAAAAATTCTACTTCAATAAGAATTTATTTGAGAAAACTTACTAAATTTTAGCAAAATATAGTTTTATTCAAATATTTAACGAATGTTGAAATGTATTGTGTTTATAATGAAGATTTGGTAAGAACATGCATTAAATTATAACTATATAATTAAAAAAAATAGTTAAATTTCTTCTAAGTAAATGATCTTACATGGGGACTTCATCTGTATGGGATGTTCAACTAAGGCAGTAACACCTTCCAATTTTGATTCGTCAGCATCATAGCTAAAATTAAAAAAAAAAGCAGCTAGAAATTATGCAAAAAGCATTAGCATAATAATATTGAATTAAAATGCATATATTGTTTAACCCCTACCATTAGAGCTTGCTGTTAGTTGCTACTTGTGTCTCATTATCTTACTTATAATAAACTAATTTATTGATTTAAACTGTTTTAAAATTTTGGTTTGAACCCACTTTTTCCTAATCAGCAAAAAATAAATTTGGAAAAGATTTTTTTTATTTTCCGCAAGTTTGAATAAATACAATGTTTTTTGCTTTTCTTTAGCATATTTGCAACATTTGTTGAGCCACACAATTTTAAACTTTTTCCTCTACTGCTCCATAAACGAATGAGGCATTCTTCCCAGAGTGTAACAAAGCTTCGGTATCTTTTTTCCCTCAAAGTAAAATTTATTTTAAATGTCGAGGAATTCCAGATCGGCTTGTTTTCAGAAAGGGCATTATTAACATGATAAGAATAGCATTTGTGACAGAACCTTTAAAACAAGTGCTGATACTGTATACCCTAGGTCCCTTTGAACGCTGATCACAGTGGCCAATGATGATTGGCTTCGGTGTTTTACTAGAAACCATGTCTTTGCGTCATCGGAATAAAAATAACAAATCCAAAGTTATCCAAATTAAACTACAGCAAGAGAGATTGTATTAGTTTTGAAAAAATAAAGTTTGTCAATTCTTTTTTTCCATAAAAAAATATTTTTCAAAACCAGGAAAACATTTGCAAAAATGTATGATAGAAGAAATGCTTCTATCTGTCTAAATATCATAAAGTGTCATAAAAGAATGTGAAGAACGTACATCAAGACAATAAATAAAACGCAAGGTGCCGCGTCTTCCAAGGTATGTAATAGCAGGTAGTCTTCAAATGGCAGTAAAGAAAATATGAGAAAAGAAACTTACTTATCACTCTGTAATATATATGAATCCCACCATTCGATGTCAGGTACATCTCCTTCTTTCTAGAAATAAAAACAACTCAACTGAAACAACTCACATCCAATCATTGAAAAACCAGAACTCAGTTAACAGTGTTTGTTGAAGATTTTCATCAAAGAAAGTGAAAAAGTAAAAGCCATAGTTTAAGCCCTTTACTTTAGATGCAAAGCTATAATTTTAAACTCAGTTAGCTATAAAGTAATAACTGGCTAATAATATAACAAATAACTCGAACCATTTGTCTCCAACATTGGTACCTCGTCTTACAAACTCGCAAAATTTTAGTTTCTGTCTTCTCCTTTCTCCTTGGTTATAATTCTTTCACTACCAAAAATTCCCTTGAGTTTGTTAAAGAAGTTAAAAATCTAAAACCTAATAGTTATTTGATGACCTCATTTAATGTTAAATCACTGTTTACTAATGTTCCGTTGAGGGGACTTTGGAATGCCTAAAAGTTAGACTTTCGGAATATCATTTTTCCAAATATGAGGCTGATGAATATGCTAACCTCACCCGTTTTTGTTTACAACAAAATACTTTCACGTTCCACAACAAATTTTACCGTATGACCAATGGTCTTGCCATGGGTAATCCTTTGAGCCGTATATTTAGTAACATCTATATGCATTATTTTGAAAGTAAACTATTCAAAATCCTAACTTTCCCCTTTTATAAAAGATATGTTGATGACAGTTGTGCTTTGTTAGATGAAAATAATTGTAATTTAGACCAAATTCTTAATGTTATGAACAGCATTGATTCTTGCATTCAGTTCACCTTAGAGACTGATCAAAAACTTCCTTTCTTAGACGTTCTTGTGACTCGGAATGATAATTCATTCCATACCACTGTTTTTCGTAAACCTTTTGCTGTTTCTCTTCCCCCTCATTACAAATCCTCCCACCCTCTTAACCAAAAACTTGCCTCTTTTCGGTCTTTTGTCTACCGTGCTGTTAATATTTGTTCTAACATTGATTTTCTTGATGCAGAATTAAATTACATCAATGCAATTGCTCATGACAGAGGTTATTCTCCTAACATTATTGATAATATTTATAAAAACTTAACTAAACAATCGCCTATCGATAAACCTTCCAAAGAATTTTCTAACAATTTAGTAATTTTATCCTATTTTCCTAAAATAAGTCGGCAAGTTGCTAATATCCTAAAGAAGTTTGATTTTAATATTATTTTCAGTCCTATTAATAAAATAAAATTTTCTAATTTCAAACAGCCCATTGACAGTCAAAATAGCTGGGGTATATACCAAATTAATTGCCAATGCGGCCTTTCATATATTGGCCAAACTAAGCGTGCCGTGTTAAGGAATATGAAGCTTATGTCAAAAAACAAGAATTTACACGCACATCTATTGTCCAACATTGTTGGGACTATAATCATAATTTCAATTTTTCTGAAGTCATTCAAAATTGTTGCTCAATTTTTGATTTAGATTTTTACGAGTCTTATCATACTTTCAAAAATTCCTAACTAACCACCTTTTCATTCCTTGCTTCCTACTCGTCGTCATCCATTCACCCTCCCCTGCTATTTGCCGTTGCTCTAAACCCTCTTGTGATGTCACCTTTCTCTATATTTACCCTGTTTCTCTCTCATTTCTTTGTGTTACACTGATGAAGGTTGCCCTTTGAGCATCCGAAACAGCTGTCTGTATTTTATAAATATTTTTGTGCTCTTTAACGTTGTTTGCCTTAGTTTGAAATAACGAATGTTTTAAAAGTAAATAACAGAGTGCATAGCCAAATTAGTCAACAAAAAATAAGCACCTTTTAAATCCCTCAAAAACTATTTTTCAGCACTTTGGGGTTGAATTAATTGTGAAAATGTTGAGAACAATGTGAACTGTGACTTTTTGCATTATTCGTAGCAAAAATCAACATGGTAAAGGAAAAATCTCATTTGGAAAATGGAAAAATTAAGCACTTTTTAAAAACACCCAATAAAAAAAGCACCTTTAAGGGCTTTTAAAAACGGAAAATAAGCACCTTTAAAATATTTTTTAAAAACGCTACGCCCCCTGATTAAACTTTATGAAAATAAATGATTAACTGATTTTTATGAGACCAGTTAATGTAGCATTGAAGCCTCAAAGGTTTTCACAAAACTGTGGCTTTTCTTTTTGACATTTTGTGCTATTTTCAGAAATAGTATACACAAGTGCTGGCTAAAGTTGACTTAATTCATGAATATCTGTTGAAAAGTGCAAATTAGAATTATTTCATGAGAGCCTTTGAAAAACATCATTAATTTAAGATCCTTCAATAATTTGAAAAAACTAATTCATGTCTTTCATTCAAGCGATATATCTTTAGCTGCTTTTTTTCCACCGTCATCACAACTTGAAATATAGAGCTCATTATGAATGTAGTAATATCTCTAGAGTCTTTTTGAACCTGGGTCTACTCATTGAGGAATGAACGCTATATCCCTTGAACTACCACGGCTCTTAAAGGGTACATACTTTTAAAGGGTACACACTATTAAAGGGTACACAGAAATTTTTGAAATATTTGAAGGTTGTATATATATATTAGCTGTATCCCGTTCTTTGTACAGGGTAAAAAAAAGTAAGTAAGCAATGTCTCAGTACTGAACGACACCACAAAACTGAAAGACATATACAAACACAATTAAACTAAAATAATTCCATTTTTAAATTAATTATTATATTTTGTACTTTTCAGTGGCTTTACATTATTAGATTAAGCAAACACGTTTTTAGTAGTTCAACCCATCGAAATAAATGTATTCAGAATAATTTGGCATGATGCCGTTGCTCAAGGCCAACTTGTGGTAGGCAAAATTTACAACAATCCTACAATTTTTTTTTTGTTGGTACTAACCCTTTAGAGGGATAATAAAAACCCCATTTTCTCAATATCTATATTAAAGCTTCCCAGTATTGCTGTAGTTTTAATAGGTATCAAGTATATTAATATAATACACTGTACATATATTTATATATATGGTACTTATTAGAACTGCATCAATTACCATAATATTAGTAGCGCTCATAAACAAAAGTAAGCATCATTAGCCTCAATAATAATACAGCAATTTTTTACATTTCTTCTAAATAAATTAGTGCTATTCCTCTATTAATTTTGCTAAATAGTTCTTATAGTATACAGCTTATTTTTTTAAATTTCAGTTAGTACTTATTCAGGGTGCGTAGCCAAATTATTCACCAAAAAATAAGCACCTTTTAAGCACTTTTCAAGTACTCGAAAAATATTTTTAAGCACTTTAAAAAAAATATCATAATTAGGCAGGTTTGGAAAGTTTTTGACAATTGACGTTTTTATCCTGTTTTAACCGTCATGTCAAAAAATTTTTTTTTTTTGGCATTATTTTTGACAATTGTCAAAAATTTTGAAATTTTGAATCATGTAAAACGAATGGCATTTTCATTCACTACGGACTGACAATGCGTCGAAATAGATTGGGGTGGAATTAATTGCGAAAACGTTGAATAGAACAATGTGAACTGCATCTTTTTCCATAATTCGAAGCGAAAATCAACATGGTAAAGGAAAAATTTCATTTTGAAAAACGGAAAAATTAAGCACTTTTTAAAAACACCCAATGAAAAAAGCACTTTTAAAAGCTTTTAAAAAACGAAAATCAAAAATAAGCACCTTTAAGCACTTTTTAAAAACGCTACGCACCCTGTTATTACCAAAATTTATTAAGCCTCATTAGCACGAATAATTGTTCAGCAATTTTTTACTCTTCTAAACCGATTAGTACCAATTCTCCATTAATAAATTTTTTTTAATGCACAGCTTATTTGCTATTTCAGTTGGTACATTTTACTAAAATTAGGAAGCCATTAATTTTGATGATGAAGCCATCGATTTTCAGAACATATCATATATTTTTTATTTAAATTAAAACCTATTACCAAATGCAATTAAGCATCGTTAGCGAGATATGGCAATTTGTATACTTCCTCTATACGAATAAGTACTATTTATAAATTAATTTTGCTTTTCAATACATAACTTATAAGTTTTTTACTTCAATTGCAGTTGATTTCAAACTATTTAGTTCTATAAATTAACATTTTAAAAGCATAACTACAAACAAAAGAAATACATGGTCTCATATAACTTTAGAAACACTGATTTGGCGACATAATCTACATATGCTATCATGTTCATGGCATTATTAAGCATATCTGACATAACGAATAAAAAATAATTAAATAATTAAGAACATGCAAAAAGTCTTATTTTTTTAAAGAGAGCTATTAGCTAGCATATATCACTAATATTTAATTATTTATTTTTGAGCGAATTTTGAGCTCCTTGCATCCGCTGTCTTAATTCCAGTATGATAGAAAAAACGGTTCTTAAGTTACAACAGAACAAAACACATAGGCAAACTCTTAACTTTCTTTTTATTATTATATTACATACATATAAAAACCTTCAAATCTTCTTAAAATAATATTTATTTATAATAAGCAGACAAGGGGGATAATATTTTCTATTTGTGTTGATGCTGCTTAAGAAAAAAAGGATTTTCAAATAAATATTGAGATAAAATTAAGTAAAAGATAATTTCAATAGAGGAAGTTTTGTTTTTTTGAAAAACATGTTGTTTGTACCTCACATGTGCTCAGTTGGTCATATAGCATATTTCATAATGCAACATACAAATTTGTGAAATTTATAATTCAAATTAAGGTGTGGATATATTAATTAGGAAAGAAATATTTTAAAAAAGCAAATACATATTTTGCAAGTACAATGTCGCAAATATATAGAGGAATAAATCCTTTAAATATTAAAGCAATCAGCACCAATGAAGATTTTATTAATATATATTATATTAGCAGATATTATATTAACATCTGTTTAAAGTGTCAAAATTGAAAACCATTTTCTTAAATTTTTTATAAATCAATTAAATAAAAATTTTAGAATTTGTTTGATTCAATAACTAATATAGTCTATATTAGTAATATACTATATGAAATCTATTAGATTTCAAAAAGTATATGATACTGATTATGATGTATAGAAAAAAATATATGTAATAAGTGCTTATAGCGTAAATTTATTATGGTAGTCTTAAAATTAATTTTTTCAAATATTTTAAATAAAAAAAAGTTATCTTCAATTACTTAACAATATATCTAAAACTAAATTGATTAGTAAATGAAATTTATTTGTTACAAAGGCTATTTAATTTAGAACAAATAAAATGCTTTTTATTTTACAATACTAGTTTAGTGTTTTATAACAGTATAAAAATTAACAAAAAAAAGTTTCTTACAACAAAGGTAACAAAATATTTTGTGTGCTATTAAAAATTATATTATTTAAAGCATTCTTACTATTATTAAGAATTTAGTTTTAGCTTGTTTCTGCAATTTGGTATTTGGTTTTGCGAAATATAGATTTTTTTAATACAAAATATTTTTTAATTTAATTTTTGCTAAAAAAAAAAGAAAAAGAAACATCCACAGAATTCCAAAGAAGGTTTTTGAATAGCTCATATTTATGTATCTATTTAAAGGGGAAACAAAAAAAATATTTTTTTTCTTATATAAATAAAATGTTTTAAGTGAATCTTTTTAAAACTCTCATACCTAATAGAGTATAAAAAGCTTGTCTGTTATATGTTCAGCATAGAAGAAGAATGACCAACTCTGTAAAAAGTCAAAAGTATTAAACAGCACATGAAACGAAGGTTTTATAAAATAAATTTTATTTTTAAAGTCTGCTGCCCAAATATGCTTTCTTACTAATAATATTTTTTAAAAAAATTGTATTTATTAAAAGACACTTTAGACATTTGTTCTGGAACAAATTTTTAATAACTGGAAATCTTACAATCTCATCTATGGTAATCTGGCAGATAGTAAATTTCTCATTACCGATATGATCAACTTACTTTAAAACAGAAAAAAAAAATTAAAATTGAAGATACAAGTGATCCAATAGTTGATTGTTACTTAAACGAATGGAATTGTACAAAGCCAAAATGGAACTTAAAATTATTAAACACACACCTGTCTTATAAAAAGATGTTACTCAAGTACGGAATAAAAAAAAGTAAGGAATAACACTAAGAGTACTAAAAAATAATTTAACAAAAAAAATATCCTCTTTTTTTTCAATTAGAAATACATCAATGATACAAACAAATTTCAATACTTACATATTCTTTTCGGGGTACAATCAAAGCCAATTTGGTAGCAGAGGAAATTCCTGTCTTACGGGCTGCTTGAGCAATTTCTTCCTGCAATTTCTCTAACTGAGCCTACAAATAAACATATTGAACTTATGAACGAAAGCCATCTTAAAATAAAACAAATAAAAAGTATTAATAATTTCAATAAAATAAAAAATAAAAATTTAATTCATGAAGAAAAAAAAAGGTTTAACTTGGCGATATAATGCAGGGTATGATAGGATTTTTTATTTTTAAAGTTTGCCCACTTTTGTTGTTGATTATTTTTAGCAGAAAATGTTAGAGCACAGCGTTTTCAAATGCGCAGTGCGAAAAAAAACCCTAATAACTTTTTATTGCAATTTAAAATATCGTCTACACTAATTAATAAGCATGTTTGAGGTCAAACCCTGGACCCATTAAGATCGAGTCCTAAAAGGTGAAGATCGGATCATTAGATCAGAAGTTATTCAGGGTGGTCTGTCTGAATAAATTTTTTTTCTTCTTCATTTTCTTTGTGTACTGTACAATAAAAACATCTTCATATTAACACTTCATTGAATCATGTAGAAATTCACTATTCATGTGCATCAACATCACAGCTGATGATGGCAGGTATATCAAACATGTCATAAACTAAAAACGAAAACCAGTTTAATTTTAAAATACTTAAACTTAGTAATTTGTTAAAATTTGATTTTTTATTACATATAGGTCAATAATTGTCACCCTGTATTATCATATAATATAAATTTAATAAAGTCGTACTTATGTTTTTTTATAATGTTAATAATACCTGTTTGATCGTTTTTGAAACTTGCAGAAGCCCATACCTATCATTTAGAAACTCTACCAATATTTAAAGGAAAAAAATTGAAGCTTTTTTGCTTTGAAAATAAAAACAATAATTCTTGATGGTCACTTAAAGAAATAGTTGCAGAAGCTAAAATTGGGATATCAGTGAAGCCAGCAAAATGAAACCAGTGCAAACATTTGAAAAAGGCCCGGTAAGCCTTTCAAACAATGAGGAAATTTCTGTAAAATAGATGTAAGCATAAAGCATGATGACTTATATGTATACATATGAATAAATAAAACAATATGTGATGTCATATTTAATACATTGCTTTAGTAGAAAATACTATGATTATGTTTTTAAAAAAAGAATCACTAGACTACAAAAATAATACATAAATAATGTGTTTTGATTGAAAAACTCTGAAAAATATCATATTTTACTCACTTTGGTTCTTAATCTCTGTGCCAACTGTTCAAATTTTCCTTTATCATGAAATTTAAAACCTTTTCTGGGTCTTTGAAAATTTTTAGCACTGTTAAAAAAAAGAGATAGAAAAATATTTATAAGAAAAAAACAGACATGGCAAAAATAAAACAGCATTCAACACTTTTACAAATTTGTTAAAGAATTACAGCATCATTATTTGAAAACAAAGCAAAATAAAAATTATAGAAAATCTGTAAAATGTTCATTCATATTAAAACTTATAAAATTGCTTATTAAAAACTAGATTTTAAAAATAACTAGAAATCACATAATAGAATAAGTTTTACAATGATACCACAAAACAATGATAAAAACAAATTATACTATAAAAACGATCAAGTGAAGAAAAGTTATGTTTAAAAAAAAAAGCTTCTAAGTGAGATAAATAAAGTATTTTAACATAATATATACTTGTAAAAATATAAGATACCTACCTTACTCTGGGATCATAGAACTTCTGCTCAAATAGTTCTTCCATTACTTTCTCATGACTCATTTTGAATTGGGCTCTCTTTTGAGCTCTTATGTTAGCCTAAAAATAAAAAGGTTAATTTCATTATTCATTGGAGTTAATATTAAATTACTGATAATATTGATTACTGATAAATTCCAATTCTGAAAATATTACTGATAAATTCCAGGTTTACTGTGAAAAAAAAATTAGTGCTTATGTTTACATAAAAATTTTGTTATTTGTCGTTAACATGCCTAAATATGTGTGCAGCCTATTGTTATTCAACCTGCTATGCAAGTGGCCCTTCACCAGGGTTCGCCAAGTGGGCCCACTTTGAAAAAACCCGCCCGAGTTTTATTGGGCGAGCCCACCTTGAAAAACCCCACTTGGAACGATAAGTGGGTTTTTTCAAAAAAAAAAANTTAATTTTATTACAGGTAAAAGTCAGATGAAATTTTAGTGTTTACTTATACAACACTATTTAATAAATAAAAATATTTTCACAGTAAAATTTATGAGCACTAAATGAAAAAACCCAATTTTCCCCGGGTTTTTTCAAATAAAACCCAATTTTCCCCGGGTTTTTTCAATAAAACCCAGGCGGGTTGGGTTTTTTCAAACCCTGCCCTTCACCCCTATAATAACCGAAATAATTGTTACAAGTTACGCATTTTTTGTTCATAATTTATTGTCGGTCCCTCAAACTTATAATCTATCTCACATAAGTTAATGAATTAATAATCTTATTGATTTCTGTTAAGTAGAGGAAAAAAATCACATGCCTATTCTAACATCACAAGAATTTGCTGACTTCTATTCAAGGTTTCACTTTTAAAGTCACCTCTTTCCCCTCAGTTACATGAGAAAAGCAATCGTTTGAAAACAATGTCAAAAACGGAAGAGAAAATTTCATAATAGCCAAACTTGGGCTGAAAAATGAACCAAAATTTTTTGTAGTTCAAATGCAAAATCTTTCTGCAAAAATGCTGTCGTGATTGTGCCACAGGGATTTTACGAGGGAAAAGGAACAATTCAAATATCATTTGACTTTATAATAATCTACAATTTGTAATAATTGCAGGAAATAAAAAAGCTAAAACTACTCAAAATCTCTAAAATTAACCCGTAATTTATACACATATGAAAAATATTATTAATAGAATACTGTATAGATCACTAAATAAAAGAGAGAATTTAATAACAAATGTTTTAAATAACACCATCAATTGTAGAGTTTGTTTAGTAGTTTAGACCATTGAATCAGCCTAAAAAATTAAAAGTCATTATAAATGGATCATGAATTGGACACATTGCCCTCTCTTGTACGTCCAAAGATCCAAGAACACATTCTGACACGCAATATAAACAACCGGGATCACGAATTTCTTACTCTACAGTTTCACATTAGAATGCTGTATTTTATCTTAAAGACATAGGTTTCTATTCAGGTTCCATTTCTATAGTTTTACTTTTTGAAATTACTTTTACCAAGTGTGAAGTAAAATACAGTCACATATGGTTCTTGCACTAGAAATTAAACTAACAATAATGAAATACTAAAGAATTAAACATAGACTTTCACAAACGTAACAAAACATATACAAAAACAAATTTACTTTTAATGTTGGCATGTGATGAGTCAGGTGAACTTCTTTGCCAGTCATGTCTAAGGTTCGTCCCTCAGAGTCCAAAATCAATGGTGCAGGTCTAAAAAAAAGTTAAAATAAATGTAAAACATCTACTTTATTTTATTTTTACAACAAAACTATTTTATTTTTAGAACAAGACTTTTATTTTTACAATAAGGTATATTCACAATAAGGTTATTTTACTTTTACAGTAAGGTTTAACTTACTTATGGGTTTTAGAATCATCAGGTTTCCTAAAAAAAATGTTAAAAAAATATGTGTTACACATTAACTCTAATTAAAAGTAACATTATTCAAATATATGAGATGATTTACCAGTTGGTGAGCAACGTTGGTTTTGAGCTCAGTTTTGCTTGTATCATCGCAGTTAATTGAGCAATTCTAGCTTTATTCTCAGAAAGAGATGGAGCTTCTGCTGCCGCTGAAGATGAAGCAACAGTAGGCGATTGATTCATAACACCAGTCAGAAGCATTTGCTGCAAAGGAGGGAGAAATATTGAACTTATAAAATAAAAAATGCATCTGTCATCTTCAAATTATAAGAGATGTTACACTAAAATAAACAGCTCTTTTGAAACCAGGTTGAAATCTGAGCTGTTTCATGGCTTTTTCTCAAAATTCAAAATTGTAAAAATGATATTTCACACAAAATTGAAATTTGTAAAAATGGCCTTTTATACAAGATTTTAGATATGAACAGCAGCACATATCAATAAAATTTAAAAGAATAAAAAGTTATAACCCATAGTTTTACATCGTAAAAAAATGCTTAAAATATCAAAAAGAGATTTACGGAACAGAATTTGTGCCTCGTAGACAAAATCAAACCAACTTGAAATTTTTTCTTCTTCTCCTTTTGCTCTTGCATTAACAACAACTGTGGAAGATTCAAATTTGTGAGTATGGAATTACATCATTCTTGCTTCATAAGTTTTTTAAAAATTAAAAAATTCTTTTTAGTATTTTATCAAGTTACTGTAGATATTTATTATGAAATATTTTTGATATTAACCTAATTAGTATACATTAAATAATATAAGAAACCAGAAAAAAAACTTAATATTTTGTACAAGTTTCTATTATCAGAAAGATACAAAAGGCTGCTGTTTTCTCTTCTTTATATAATGTTAAGTCTATATAAACTATGAGTTTGTATAGACTTAAACACAACCGTTATATTATTTTGCACTGATTTTGATGCTATATAATATTAGATTTAATATTTTCCGTTATTTACTCGCACCATTTTTTATTTTAGAATGAGAAAGGGGAACACTTGAATGTTAGTAATTTATAAGCCATTAAATTTAAAGAAAATAACACACCAATTTTTCAAACCTTTTGAAATTAAAATATTACCTTTTTTCTTTCTTCTATCATTCTTTGTGCATTTGCCATCATTTCTTTAATCTGAAAAATAAATAATTTGATTGATAATTAAAAAGCAAAAATTAAATTGTACATTTCATTGCATAGTTTTACACCTCTGTAGTGTGTAAATAAATGAAGAAAAAAAAACTTAAATACTTTTTACTATAATGTAAACATTTAAAATCTGGCATTTTTTGCGAATGTCAACACAAACACAATATGGATTTACGAAAGTTAATTATGTTGGATTATTTGTTAAATTATGTTTATAAAATGTAACATTATTGGTGGTTTACTCGTACAGAAATATGTTGACATTCATTCTGTGCAGAGTCATAACTGAGGAATAATTAATGTAACAAATATATTGGACTGATATCAAAGTGACACTCACCAAAGAATGTTCCCTAATTTTTTCACACCAAACCACTCATACTTCGAAGTAGGCATTTTTTAAAAAAATATTTTTAAAAAATCCTTTTTTTTTTATAAATATTTAAATCAGATTTGTTTTTTTACACATTTACCAATCAAAGAGCTAAAAAAACTTATTAGTAATGCTTATTATTTGGAAACAATCTAAGCAAAGTACTTACCTTAAAATACCGAACAAGGCCCCGATTTAATTAAACCCCCACCCATACATTTTGTGCGAATTTTTATCAGCAATCTAGACCGAAAAAGACCACATTTATACAGAGTTAGATTATATAGAGGCACATGTACACACCGTTCTCAGATACACCTGTGGAAATTCTTAAATTTTGTGGATACTTCATTAAAATTAACAGTCCACATGATTTAAAAAATCAAATTGAGATGAATAGCTTAATTTTGTTGTCAATAACTTCAACCTTAGTGTTTCTCAGATAAGAAAGTTTATCAAAAAATGCATCCAATGGGGAAAAATAAGCCAAAAGAAGGCTTTATTGTCAATATCTCAAGAGTTTTAAAAAGATGCATATTTTTCTTTCTTTATCAGATCAGAGAGTAGGAGGCCATAGCTTTGGTGGTTATGAGGGAGATTTGCTAACCTTTAATATGTGTCGTATGATCCACAAGTAGTAAATATGTTGTAAATTTCCAAAAAATGTTAAATTATAAGTATTTATCCAAAAAATACTTTATCGACTATTTGGCAAAAATTCCTTACATAGTCAATTTTCTTGCACTTTTTTTAAATTTTAACAATTTCGAATGCTTTAATAATAAATAAAACTCTGCTGAATCTTTATTTATTTTCCTTCTTTTCCAAAATTTACATTTATCATACATGCAACAATATCTTCATGTTGTCACTAAAATATTGTAATTGTTGCAATGAAGTTTTATATTACTATACTCTAGAGCAGTGATTCTCAACCTTTTTTTTGTCGCTGCACACTTTTAAGGATTTCGAAATTTAACGGCACAAAATGAAAAAAATTAGTTTATAAGTTGTTTACTTACCCATAATACACTGTGTTAAATAATTTGTGATAATAATTTTGAATGTGAAATAAATAATATGTAATACAAAAGCACGTCTATTAAGAGATTAATTATCTCTTTCAACTAATTTTTTATAAGTTTGTAAGTTATTTTTTTGCTAGTTATTGATTGTTAGCTTGTTTTCTACAGTTATTAACTGTTAGTTTTTAAACATTGTTATTTATGTTGTGATTTCTTGTTAACTAGTTTTTTGCTAATTATTAATTGTTAGCTTATTTTTTTGTTAGCTATCCTTTGTTAATTTGCTTTTATAACTATTAATGGCATAGCTTACTTTAATGATTAGCTTTTATTTCCGTTTGAAAGTTAATATTTAGCTTTTTTTCTTTTGTAAATTAATAATTTNTAATTAAAATGATTAATAATAATTATGATTTAATGATAGTGGAAGTAACTGCAAACTTTCAAAGACAAGTGCAACAATGGGTTGTGATGGCTATTTTTCCTTTCCCATATAAATCTATGTATTGACAGCAATGACAAACTAAACAAAAAGAGTTAAAAATAACAGTTCATGAAATCCATTGTAGAGTTTGGGGAAAAAGTAAAGAAGGGTTGAGGAAGGAAAGGGCAAAAAGGGTATGGAGTCTATTACATAAGGGCACTAATTTACACTTTGGGGGCACTAATTACATAAGGGCACTAATTTACTTACTTAATTTACTTTTGACTAAAAGGGCAGCAGGGTGCTGCGCCCTGTTTACCCTGCCTAGAATGAGCTCTGGATAAAACTCCGGATGGTTGCGGCAGATCTTTTATGGAACATGTTATTCAGCAAGAGACATGCGAAAACCACCAGTCCCGCATTAAACACTAACAGAGCATGATGTAAACAGGTTCTAGTTGTACATACCTTGTAACTCTACGTATTATGGAAAATCATTTAATGCTTCCTAATATGGAAGTCAAAGAAAGAGAAGATTCTAAAAATAACTCCTCCTTTGAAATATAAATCTAATTATAATTTAATGGTATGTTTTCAGCCTTGAAGTCCCAAAATAGAATTTCTACACCTATTCTTTACCAAAGACATTTAAAATGAAAACGAAAGAGTTTTAATGTTGTTATTAATACAAAAGTATTTATAATTTTTGCATTACATATACATACTTTTCTTTAATTTAAAATTTACTCGTGATAAAAAAAAGCGTCATAATTTTTATTGCATCATTTTTAATATTTGGCGGCACACAAAAGTGCCGCAGCACATTGGTTGAGAATCTCTGCTCTAGAGTCTGAGAAAAAAAGGCTAAAAATTATTTTATAAGATGGCCCAAAACTTCAGCTAACTAACAAGTTATATATGACAGTATCAAGTAATCTAATAAAATGTACCTGTAAGGTGGTTAATTCTCCTGGACTAGGCTGACCTGCGACAGGAAGGTTAGGATGGTCCTCCACTTTAAACTTCTTACTGTTAGAAACATCTTCATCCTAGAAATCATCAAATTCATTTACTTATTTATTAAAAATAACAGGTTTAATAAGTACATTCTAATTAAACATTTTACTGTTCAAAAACCTAATAAAATATTGTTATAATGAGCATTACTTAAGATTTAAAAATTAATTTTTCAACAACTTCTGGAAAATTTCTATTCTTTTTAGAAGCCAATTTTGCAAGGTTCATCATTTTTCTTTCACAGATTAATTTGATTAAAATCAGCTTTTTTAAAGATACTTTGAGAATTTAGTTAATAATTAATGAAATTTCATAAATATAATTGAATTATAATTTAAAATTACTAAAAATAAATAACAGTACATTTCAAACCATATAACTGCATTAAAACAGTGATACATAAGGTAACCAAATGAATGATTCAAATTTATCAAAAAGGTAATGGCAATGTCTCATTATTAACTACAGTGGAAAGTCCTGCATCTGTATTCAGCGAAACTTCCGCAAGCTGGGATAGATTTTTCCGTATAATATAGACGTAACATAATCAAAGTCTTATAAAAAGGGAAAAAAGGAAAAAAAAAATGATAAACATAATATTTCAGTCAGTAACATTTTATTATTATGATATCATATAAAAATGTTTGGAAAAAAAAAAAAAGATCATTCAAAAGATTTAAAAATTCCAGTCATTGAAGTTGAATAGATAGGGGAGAAAAGTGTTCTCCCCATGTGTAGGGAGAAAAAAATGAGATCTTTATGTCAAAAAAAGGTAGTGAAATAACAAATTTTAATTTTCTTTTAGCTAGAAAGAATCTATGGTTCTATAATCAACCGTTGTCAAACTATAAGAAACAGCATGTCGCTTTTGCTTTTCACCTCTATAAATTTTAAGATTTTCAGAAAATAATCTCATGAGAGTTGTAATTTATTACTTCAAACTAAGCACTAAAGTAATTTTGTGGATTGAAACTTATTGACACAACAATAAATTTCTAAATTTTGAAAAATCAATACAAATTTGATTGCCTTACATTAAAACGCATAGTAAATCTGAATGGAATCCTTTAAATTTTTTTATTTAATTAAATCTATAAATCCTGCTATTTGTAAGTCAATAAAGCAAAAAATGATTGAGAGGGTCAGTAAACGAAGCAACACAACACTTCATAAATAAACATTTTAATTCACTTACTCTATAACGTTTTTTGCTTTTTCTTTTTGATTCATTTCCATAGTTTTTAAGCAAAAGTTCAGCAAGCTTAGAAGCCCTTGAATCATCCAAATGTGAAGAAAGTTTATCTGAAAATAGAAATAATAATTAATAAGTATGAAGTAGTAGGTTAAATGAACAATTAATGTACCAACTGTGATTTGAAGATACATTGTCACAGAACATTACAGAGTTTCTGCAGAAAGATTTTTCTTTACTTTTCTAGAGAAATCTGAATCATGCATTTAGATAATCACTTTTTGACACGCTCACCTTACACTGATAGTATCGTAAACCAATGTAATGTTTTGATTGTACTTTCGGCAGTTAACAATATTGATTTTCACATGATTTTTGAATATGTCTTGATATATTTCAAACAAAAAGTAAAATTCAAATTGTGCGCTTGAGTATTTACTTTTTAATCAATAATTCTATCGAATCTTCACAGTTATTGCCATTGATTTTTTCAGTTTTTAAATCCGACATTTTTTACACAATATTATTTACTACAACAACCTAATCTTGAAACGAAACACACATTTCAGGAGTTTAATTAGTGTGATTTCGTCGTCGATCACTTTCTAGGCAATTACTACAAGAGTTTGTTACAACTACTATGAAAATTTCGACTTTCAAATAATTGAAGATAATTTAACTTGATACATAAATTTATTTAACTTGTTTTAAGAGCATACTAATGTGCCTTTAATTATAATAGATAAGGGAAGTAACTATTATTTATAGAACAAAAGAGATCCTTAAACCTTATGAATATTTTTCAATTTATATAAAATTATAATTATTCTTATTAACAAAATTTCCATTACAAGTGCCGAACTTTTAGCATGATACTAATATTTCTTTTTTTAAATATCTAAGCTGATTACAGTGATTTAAATTCGAAATTAATTTGAACTACTTCATTTATAAAAAAATATCAGCATTTACGAAATAAAATTATTTATGTAATAATTGGAATGAAATTATTTTTCAATTTTTTACATATATTAAAAAAAAAGTAAATAAAGAAATTTGGGAAAAACATTGAAAAAATTACAAGAATAAGTTTTATATTTCACTCTGCCAGACATGCATAACATATTCAGTTATCTCAATATTCAACTACACCAAAATTTTTCTTCTTCTTTCTATTAATAAAATGTTTCATTTATAAGGCCATTATTATACACATTTAAATCTTCCAGTTTTTAGAAATTGTGGATGAATTTTTTTTTGTTACTTCTTTTCTTAAGGCTTTACTTTGTTACTATAAGCATGTGCGATACCTGTAGAACTGAATTACCTTAGAAAAGCAGGATTTTTTCCATGTGCAGTATCCTTTTTTTCCACGTTCTATTATTTTCTTTCAGAATGATTCCCTTCCCTCATGTGGTATCATTGTAAGCAAAAGAAAGAATTTATAATAATAGAACCAATATATTAATGAAAGAAGGATATGATTTCTTCCCCTTGCCTTGCACACATCCTTTTTTGTATCTCTAAAATGCTCTATCCTATGTGCATGGTCTCATTCACAATGATATAAGAATTTTAAATAATTTTGTAAGACTTAAAAATTGTTCCTATCAATTATAAAGATACTAAAAATTAAGGACTTAAAGGCCTTTAAAGCAGATTTGAAATCCGAGAGAATAAACACTTTTTTGTAAGAAGTACAATGGGTCAAAAGCTGTAGTAGAATTATAAAAATAAAGTATAATACCTGAAGTTTTCCTCAGATCATAGCCTTTGACGAGACATCGAACGGCTACTGAAACTAGGGAGGGTTCATTGAAACCCAGAAATTTCTGCACAGTTTTATCAACATGTGGCTTCAACTCTTCTTTTGTCATGGACATATTTAATCTTCAATGTGCTACATACAACATTAAATACATAATTATAACATGAAAATAAATAGATTTTAAATATTTTTATAATTTGTACTTATAACTGAAATATATCCATCATTTGTAATATTTTATATACTGTTAATAAATTGTGTTCTTCACAATAAAAGTAATAATTTAAATTACATTTCCAAAATAAATATCCAAAACAATAATTTGATCAATAAAAGGAGAGAATTTTTTTTTAGAAAATTCTAATAGCATTCAAATTATTCCATGTCCAAAAGTTCAAGGCAAATACATCTAAGTAGAGTCATAAATTTATAAACTTTAACAATCTTAATGACCAATCAATCATTTGATAATACACAATGGAGACACATGTTTCCTAACTAACTACTTTTTAACTCGCTGATATTTCAGACACAATTTTAAATAAAACCAATGTATCTAAAAACAAGGTAGGAATTTTTTTTTTAAACTTTTATTTAAACCATTTTTTAGGCAATATGTCAAATGATATTTTAATCCCTTAATTGAAATTAATTAAAACATTCCTAAGTATTTCATAACATTTAACAATTCCATTTAACTATCAATTAATGTTTTTAATGAACAGTTCATAAATATTCACTTTTATTTCTTAAATATGCTAATATAAATAAAATTTAAAAAACTAAATACTTTAAATTAATGATTACTTTAAAACTTCATTGAACATATAAATTAAAAACTCCTAACATTTAAATTTTATTTTACTTATATATGCTTAATGACCCTTTGCTTGTCTATATTTTAAAAATGCAATACTTCAGTATTATTAATTAAATTATTTAGCTGTGATTATGAAATACAGCTTTTTTAAAATTAATACAAATTTAATATTTATGGGAATATAGCATAATTTTTTATAAATGATACTAATTAAAAATTGCTTGATAATAATGGAATGATGAAAAGGTACAAAAATGACATGGGGCCTATGTAAAAAAGTAAATTTGAGTAGGTACTAGCGGTTTTATAATAAATACAGCATAAACTAATTCCCCCCCCCCATTTATTTCAACATAATGGAGCTTTAAGTTTAATAAAATCAGAGTTAGTAGTCTATTCTAATAATGTATAGTAAAATATACAATTATATATATATAGATTATTCTTTATTAAATCTATTAATATTTCTCCCAAAAAAGACATAGTCGAAATAATTTGGCAAATAATACTTTGCCAAATATTAGATCAAATATTCAGCAAAAAAGTCAAATACTGAAGAGTTGTGGAATATTTGATGCATCCCTAATCAAGATACCCATTGATTGAAGATTGAACTTTATTTTAATTTTGATTAAAATAATCCTGAATTTCTAGTGGAGTTATCACTAGCTTCATTCGTGCATGCTTTTGAATTAGTAGGTGTAAATTGAATACTTTTAAAGTTGATAATACACAATTTGAGCAAAATTCATAGTTATTTTACATAAGTTATTAAAAATTAAGCTATAGGAGTTATAATATAATTCACAATATACTTCATAATCATGTTCATTACCTATCATACTTATTAACATAAGCAAGTAACCTTGTGAAGCTTTATTAAACCCATTTGTAAAGCATTACACATTATTTTCCATTTGTAATGCATTCCAACTATATAACTATCCAAAGCTATCAATTAAAGAACTACCGGAACATTTTTTTTTAAACTTTAGAAGCATTTTGCAGGTCACCAAAATCAAGTAAAAGAAATGATTAGGTATCTAACCAGTTGTTACATTCTTTAAATTATTGGATTATTCTGAGATTAAAAAGCCTTTTTCTGAAAAAATTCCACATTTTTCAATTTAGAGTCCCAAACTTCCTGTAACTATCTGTCCTATCACTCTAATTTAAACTAAAGGGGGGAAATTCCTGCTTGCAGACATAGAATTAAAGAAAAGCTAGACACAGCTAATAAACAAATCCTTTATTTTAAAAAAAGAAAAAGTTTGTGCGAGTTATGTTAAAAAAAATTATAAAGCGGAATTTTTTTTAAAAAAAGGGCAGCACGATAATTTAGCATTACCAGTATAAGCATATTTCAGGGTCAACCAGAAATTGAAGTAGAAAGCGGGAAAACGTACGTAAAATAGGAGTTCTACTGCAGTTTATAGGCATTTAAATCTAATGAAATTTACATTTAAAAGAACCCAAACTTAGTTAATGTGTTCTTAAAAATACAATGAGTTGTGGGATTCATAGATTGGAGAAATAATAGTGGTAATTAAAATATTTAATGTTTGGGAAGTCCTTTGAAATATACAGACCAGTCTCCTGTCAGACAGAAGCAAACCTAATTTAGTATGACCCAACCCTAAAATAAATACTTCATATTAGAAAACCCATTATAGCTTAAATTTAAAACTTACAAGAAGGCTTACTTTTCGTCATTCAATTAGCAGCTCTTATTTCAGATGAATCAAATGCTAATTTTTCTAGTTTACAAAAAAAGCTTTAAAACGCCACGAGTCAGAAAAACTTTTTCTGTTTGTATCTACAATCTGTTTTTTAATTTAACAGTAAAGTTTTTATTATCAAGCTATAATATATATATGTACATATTTTTTGCAACAGTAAACAACAGTTGGTCTAGTTGCGGTCCTCACTAACCCGTTTAAACCTGTTGCCAAATTCATCGTTCGTAATATCACAAAAAAGTTTAATCAGTTTAATAAGGCTGTTGCTTGGCTGACCGCTTTTTTAATAAATAGNCGTCAAAAACCTCACTGTCAAAAATGTCGAAAATGTCAAAAACCTATATTCATTTTGATGTTTCAAGGAAATGAGGATCAACTAATTTACAATAATTAATTAAACTGTATACACTGTTAAAGAGATCCATTGTTCTAGTTAAAAAAGTCAAACGGAGCAATTGAAAAAATTTTCTGTAAATTTCATCCTATCTCTCACTCAAAGCAATTGATTAGCGAGCTAAAAGCAAAATACTGTAATGAGCTCCAAATATACCTGTCAGTTGAAAGATCATCATCCACTTTTGTTTCTGATGGGTATTTCCGAAATTTTTTATATTAAACATTAAGTGATTAGTTTTTCTTTCCTGTAGATTTAAATTCACTCCTTCTAATCATTGGTATAATTTGTGTTTTCTTTTCTATTTATTAATGTCATGAGAGTATGAACTGTTTCTCCATAAGGAAATAAAATATTCCCTTAAAAAATATGTAAAGATTTGCCCAGGGGTGGCTACGAGTTATAACCCTTCGTGTTGGTCTCCTAAAGTGATGTTTTTTTCTTCTTTTTTTTCAAGCTTCTAGCGGGCCGTTGCCAAGGCTTGGCGAATATTGCAGCAGATAATGATATGAAATCTATCTCCTGTAATGTAATTTTTCCGCCTGGAAAACGAGATTTTCGTATCGTGATCTGAGGCAGAATAATCGCCTAATTTTGGCAACTTTCGGGCAGCGGTCGGATAAATTGTAATGTATTTTTTACTTTCTCGCTGTCCTCTGCCCGGAAGTTGCCAAGACTTGTGAATTATTTTGTCACAGGTAGCGATACGGAAATCTCCGATGTGGGGTTAAAGTTTAAAATCAATTTGGTGCCTTGGCGATTGTAGTTGACCCGTCAAATAAGGATATGGCAATCTCTTAGCCAAATGAATTTTAAACTTGCAATTTTTCTTAAAATAAAATGCAAAAGTTAGTCCAGGAGTGGCTATGAGTTATCCCCTTGAGTTGGTTCCTTTCTGTGATTTATTTTAGTTTTTGCTGGCATCCGCCCTGAAGTTACCTAGATTTGGAGATTATTCTGCTTCAGATTAAGTTATGGAAAAGTTCCACAATAAATAATCGGGGAGATTCCCGTTTTGTGATCTGCGGCAGAATAATCGCCAAGTCTGGCCAACTTCCGGGCAGTGGCCCGCAAGAAACTAAAAGTAACATCACAGAAAGGGACCAACTCGAAAGGTATAACTCGTGGCCAGACCCCATGCAAATATCTACAGGTTGTTAATAAAAAATTTGCAAGTTTAAAATCTATTTGGCACCTTGGTGATTGAAGTTGAAGCAACAGATCAGGATACGAAAAATATCCCCAAATATTCTTATCTTGCTGTGTATGTATCTTCTATTTTCTTCCTGACTTATTTCTTTTTCATTGCAGATCAAAATTTATTTAATTTTGATTTGATCGTTAATTTCGTTACTATATCTAGACTATCCCTATTTTCAAAATGTAATGTGAATATTGGGAATATTTTCCTATCAATACATGTTTGTGCAAACCAGGGTTGGGTTTTTGACGTCAAAAAGTGGTTTTTGACATGACAAGGGTATAATACTGGTTTAAACCGTCAAAAACCCGTCCAAAATGTCAAAAACTGAAGTTTGCCAAAAAAATATATAAACTTCAAAACTACCAACAGTTGCCATGCATTATATTGAAATTTAATTATACTATAGGTAATCAGCAGGTTTTAAAATATTTTTTAATTAAAATTAAGGTAAAATAACAGATTTAAAATCTCAGAAATTTATATTCAAATGCATGTGCA